GGTATTCCCCGACAACACCCACCCCTAGGTTACACTGGGTGTCCTGGGGCAAACACATAGTGGGGACGATATCCCTACTCCAATCAGCGCCAGTGGAGGCACTGGGGGCTCTGTCTACCAATCTGTCTCTGAAGATGTGGGTCGATAAAGGTATAATCAAGGTGGGTGACCTATGTGCAGGACCTGATGTCAAAACATTCCCCACTCTCCAACAGCAATACTCACTGCAGATGAGGGACATTTTCTTGTACCTAAGGGTGAAAAGCGTCCTCTTAACGAAATTGAACGAGGAGCAGTATTCAAACTCCCTGGGGGCACTACAGCCACAACAAATATTGTCACCTAAGTGCACAAAACCCCTAGCCCTATGCTATGGAACCATCTTCCAGTGCCCGACCACAGGGAAACTATCTTACATGACTCAGTGGGAGGGGGAGTTGGGAATCATAATCCCATTAGCTCAGTGGCATGAAGCAATGCGCAATACTAAACGCGCATCGAGGAGCCTGTCGCTCTGGGAGGCTTATTGTAAAATAATGATGCAGTGGTATTTGGTGCCCTACAGGTTGTCGCGCATCTACGCGGATGCAACGGATCGACGTTGGAGATGAGAGAAAGGCAGGGGCACGATGTTACATGTATTTTGGGAATGCCCAGCTTTGGGAGAGTATTGGGAACGGATAGGTGCATTGATATCTAACACAACACACTGCACTATTCCATGGGGTGCCAAAAGCTATCTACTACACATCGCCCCAGAGATAATGCACCACACCAACCGAACAGTGACACTCAATATTGTTACAGTGGCAAAAATGAATATAGCGCTTCACTGGAAGAGTAAAACAGTACCAACAATGGATAGTATCTGCCAAAGACTAGACACGATTAGCTCCTATGAACGTATAACAAGCAGAGTACAGGGTAACGAACAAAAATATGTGCAAAACTGGGAATGCTGGTCTACAAGGACAGAAGACAAAGGCCCACATACAGATAAGGTGGCCCCTGGAAACTAGAAACCTGGTAGGACCGCTAAACGTGACAAATTAGACACCCCACGATAACAATGACAACGACTACTAACTGAGCGAGGAGCACTAGGGAACAGAAGGCCTTACAGAACTTACTGAGCTGCCAGGCAAACAACCACAGGCTACAGATCTAGGGCCGCAAACCCCGCACATAAGGAGGGAGAGGCGATACTATGAACCAAACTATCCCCCCCCTCCTTATTTCCCTCATGTACCCCCCTCCTCCCCCAGATGACAACAGCTAGATATGGAAGCTAACACAAAGGGTCACAATGAATTCTGAGCAGCTAACACACGAGCGAAGGTTAGACTCTCCAACACGACACACTACAGGGTATAACCACAGTCTCCCAATAAATGCTTAGCCACAGCGGCTACCATATACTGCACACAACTATGGATGGTATACACTAAAGTGGCTTGTAAAGGTTGAAGTCTCCTAAGGGAGCGGAGCAAGGCCCTCGCGTAGGATGTAAAGTAGATACGCTAACTGTTATATTGTTGCACCAATTGAGAATGGAAAAGGAGACTAAGTGCTGATGCATGAAAATTACTGTATAGCATGACCCGTATATGTGGCTGACATACATACCCATGTAATGTGATCTCTTTTTCCTTTTTCCTTCTGTACCCCAATGTCGAATTTTATGTTCTTCTGAAAAAACAATAAAAAACAGATATTGAAAAAAAAAAAGAAAGCGCGACTATGTAACCGCCGGGGGGCACCTCAGTCGCAATTGTCCACAGGGGAGTCTGACCTTCTCGAGTGACGGGCCCGCAACACCACTGCTTCCAATTCACCAACCTGTCACCTTATGTACTGGAATAACAGACTCACAGAGCACCGCACACAGCACTGGGAAGCTCATACTGTAGTGATGCATGATGTCAGTAGAGAGCGGGCCGCAAGGGAGCAATGTGTAGAACTAAAGCAAGCTGCTCTTCATGGCTCCCTCACATGATGGCAGATGGCGGCATTTCTGCTAAATGTTTAAAACTAGTCACTGGGTAGCAATGGCCATATGCCATGTTAAATAACTGGAATGGGGGGCATTGTCCACCAACATGTGTTCATCATGTGCTTTTTTAAAATAAATAATTGGAGCTGGACAGATCATTGCCAAGCCCCCCTGTCCTGACCCATGTTTTTAGAGTGGAATGTGTAAAAGTATAGGGTGGGGCCCTAGCATTCTCCCTTGCCTCCTCACATTGGCGATGGGGGTTTCAATTGTAATATTCAGGGTGAGCATCCAGCGGACAAATTTGAAGCATTTGGGTCCAGATTTCAGCCATCCATTTGATCCACCTGAAATCCAGACCAAATTCAGGCCCATTTCTTTACTGTAAATGCATTTGGAGTTCTCACTTTTCCAAATAACCCTGATAGCGTACCCTTACCTATTAGTATCATTAAGAAACACCTTAATAATCTAAAAACGAAAAAGCAGGATGGACCTGATCAAATCCCAGCAATGCTGTTGAAGCTCAGTGCGCTGGCAGTTGCTAAACCTTTTGCAACCCTAACCATCAAGTCCTTGGAGTCTGAATACATACCCAAACTTTGGAAGACTGCGAGAGTGGTACCTATCCATAAAAGTAATGACATTACTTTGGTTTCTAACTATTACCCAATATCATTGCTCCCTGTATTGTCAAAAATTCTTGGAAAAATGTGTCCATAAGCAAATATGTGAGTATTACCAACAATCAAACTTTCTGATTAACCAGCCTTTCCACCAAATTACTCAACTACAACTGCCCTCTCAAAAGTTTACAATCACATCCAAACTGGCAAGGTACAAGACCTAACTGGAATTATTTTCCTTGATTTTGCCAAGGCCTTTGAGACAGTAGAACACGACATTCTACTGCTAAAACTCAAAAAAGGTATTTGGTGATCGTCCGCTAACCTGGTTTCAATGATATTATTATTATTATGTTATTTATATAGGGCCATAAAATTCCACAGGGCTTTACAATGTGTGGACGAACAGACATGTAGTTGTAACCAGACAAGTTGGACACACAGGAACAGAGGGGTTGAGGGCCCTGCACAATGAGCTTACATGCTAGAGGGAGTGGGGTAAAATGACACAAAAAGGTAAGGATAGTATTAGACTCGTGACAGTTGCAAAAGAGGAATCAGTCAGGAGCTATTAACAGTTTAATTGATACGCTTTTATGAAGAATTGGGTTTTTAATGATTTTTTGAAGGAGTGGAGACTGGGTGAGCATCTAACGGAGGAGGGAAGCGAGTTCCACAGGAACGGTGCAGCCCTTGAGAAATCTTGAAGGCAAGCATCAGAAGTGGGAGTACGGACAGAAGATAGACGTAAGTCTTCTGATGATATGTATTGGATCGATCGCAATATGTGACCATTTCTGACAGCGACTCCCTCCCTCTCCCAGTCATGTGTGGTGTTCCATACTTGGCCCCCTACTATTCAAATTATTCATAAATAATATCTGCAAAGCCTCAACTGCACACGTGTATGCAGATGAAACAGTAATCTGCGCAAGCAAACCTGATCTATCGCAGCTTTAGGCTGCTCTCCGAGACCAATTCAGAGAGGTAAAAAAGTGGATTGCAAAAAAACAAACTCTTCCTAAACACTGACAAAGCTGTCACAATCATCTTTGGAACAGTACCTATATTACACAAATTAGCATCTATGCATTAAAACAAAATCAAATAACACACTGACCGCAGTCCATTCTTTGTGTGTTGTTAGACCCCAATCTATCTTTTGGCCTCCACACATAACAACTTTCATCAAAACTCTATCCAAAACTAGGCGCCCTGCACAGAAACAAATCCTGCCTAAGACCTTGAGTAAAGGAAAAGATTGTACAGCAAATGCTAATGTCAATCATTGATTATGGGGATGTATTGTATGTACCTGCACCATAAACCCACCTTAATAAACTTACTACATTGCATAACTCATTCTGCCACTTTGTGCTAAAATGTAATTACATGACCCACCATTGTGACATGTTAAAAGAACTAAATTGGTTATCGCTGCAATCCAGACGCAATCTTTCCTGCCTTGTGTTTAAGAGCTTTTCTGGGAAACTCCCGCCCTACCTGAGCAAAATGCTCTCCCCGGCTGTTCCCACCTCCTATAACCTCCGTTCCAGTACCAGTACTTTATTTAGTATGCCTCAATACAAAAATAAAGCGATTCGAAAGAGCACCGGAATTATGGAACGGCCTCCCGCACGCTCTTAAATCTTCCCCAAGCCTAAAATCCTTTAAGAGATCCCTCCCTACATATCTCAAAACAGAATGTACTTGTCATGGTTGATTATATATTTCTTATCTGTTCTATGTTAAATTTTGTATATATTTTGTATTAATATTGTTTAGTATTTTATTGTACCCTCTTGTAACGATGCAACGCTTTGTGGACCCGGGACATTCTTGAAAATGAGATTAATCTCAATGTATCCTTCTATGTACCTTCCTGGTAAAATATTTCATAAATAAATATTGTTGGATAAGCTTTTCAAATGATTTAATAGTGGAGTTTAAACTTTTAAAATTATCTTTTCATATTATATATAAAAAATATATAAAAATATTTTAAAAATATCAGAATATTAACAAATATTTTTTTTCATAATATTAAAAATAGTTTATTTCAAAAGCTTATCCAACATTATCAAACTGAGACCAATGTTTTTATGATGTAACTGCATTGCAACATTGAGCTGAAAGCAAGCTTTAGGACTTGCTCAGTTTTACATAAAGTGGCTATTCACAAATTGTTTAACCCCTTAAGGACACATGACATGTGTGACATGTCATGATTCCCTTTTATTCCAGAAGTTTGGTCCTTAAGGGGTTAAAGGTACAACATGAACTTTATCCCAGTTCCACACTCTCTATGTCACACCCCTTTTGCACATTCATAAACCGAGCAATTTTGAGAGCTAGAACACTGCTTACTGCTATACAGCAAGATGGCTGAGACTGAAGCCGAAACAATACAGGCAAAAATGCAGAAGCTTTTGGCAGAGGCTAGCAAGAAATCCCCAGAAGAGCTAGTGTTCAACTATAAAGGGGTCCTGTACCCCAGTTCCATCTGCAGTACTGAGACCTTTCAAGCCTTGGAATCTTTGGAAGCCAGACAGGACGATCTAATGATTGTGACATATCCCAAATGTGGTAAGTGTTTGTAACTAAAAACAAAAGGTATGGTTTTATAGCAGTCACTTAGCATTTTAAAGAGTGACTTAAACTAAAACTAGTGTTTCCATAAAGTGAATGCAGATTGTGTGTTTATGTAGTGAATGTAGTGTGTTTGTATAATGAATACAGTGGATGTAGTGTTTTTGTGTATAATGAATGCAGAGTGTGTGTTTGTGTAGTGGATGTATTGTGTATATAGTGACTGCAGTGTGTGTCAGTGTATTGGATGTAGTTTGTGTGGTGGGTGCAGGGCCGGTGCAATGCTATTTTGTGCCCTAGGCAAGACCAGTTTCTTGCACCTCTCCCCCCCCCTGTTGTATTTCTATTAATCTTTTAGTGTATCCTCTTGGAATACATGCACATTGGAGGATGGGTGGCCCAGGCACACAAAGGATTACCAGTGCAGTTCTGGCCCCCCAGGACCACCGAGCCTGTGACAACCATCATGGTTGTCACCCTCTGATTGCGGCCATATGTGTGTATGTCTATGATTATATGCATATCTGTTGTATGTGTTTGTGTGTATGTCTGATTATGTGTACGTCTGTGGTTGTGTGTTTATACGTCTGAGAGTGTGTGTGTATGCAGTTATCTGTGTATGTCTGTGGTTATGTGTATGTGTGTCTGTTGTTATGTGCGCCTGTATGTTTGTTTTTTACTGTATGCATTTGGGTTGATGTGTTATATATTAGGGATTAAGGAGAGAGCGCAGGTAACTTTCTCTCTGGTTTTTACTATATATTGGGGCTGATGTGTACTGTGGTTGTTGCTGCCGCCCAGGAGTGATGTGAGTGAGCGCAGGACTTATCTTTTTGTATTTGTATTCACTTTTTGTATCACACAGCTATGTTACAATGCTGCCGCCCATCCCATGTGTTCCCGATCAAAGGACCATTCTTGTAGCGGAGAGGTAGTATAATCCACAGTATCTCCGCTGGGTAACAGGAACAGCATAAAATAATCCAAGGAAATAAATACAGCATACAATAATCCCGGTAGCGTTATAAGAATCCTTCCTTCCCAAGAACTAGACAACACATGGGAGTCAACTGAGCTTTTAATCACAGGTCACTGTATTTATGGGATTCCCCATGCAAGGGGATTCCCCACTGACATTCCAGGGGTGGTACAGTAGGGGACTACATAGGGAACTGACCAACACATACATTTCTCCCACCATGCACTGCTGCACGAGAGGGATACTCCCACTAGAATATACCGTTAAGTGAATTATCCCTCCGTGCAGCAGAACTTACATTTTACATTAAAATATATAACTTCCATTATATTCACTTTATTTAAACGAATGGACGTTCGGTAGATAGCTGGGGGCTGAGCGCACAGTTCGTGAGAATACCGCTCAGCTCCCAGCCTAACTAACCGAACTCCACACAAAATACACATTATTTCCAAAACACTGTTAAAGTATCGATTGGTATTAGGGGAACAAACTACCGAACGGCCGGGGCTGATTTTAGTTCCAGGCGCTCGACGGAAAAACACCACTGGGCTAACAAAGGATCCAAGATGGCCGACCGCCGCGTGGTCGGTAGCCGAATGACGGCCACCTAGGGACGCCTTTAACTACCGATTGCAACAATGTTGCAATCGGTTAATGGGCGCCACACGACCTCTTGTGTGTGGTCGACCATTCGGTAGTTTATCCGTTTCACGAACAGTGTTGAAACTCACTGTTCGTAAAACTACATTAGGAATGCTGGGTTTTTCATACTGCAAGCATATGAACACCCTAATTCGTCTGAAAGACACATACAGTAGTACACTTGGTTCTCACAGCTGAAACAGGGATATAAACACATTCAATATATGGCTAGTCTTAAGTGGATAGTTTTGCCACAACTCTAGGCACCCAGACCACTTCAGCTTAATGAAGTGGTCTGGGTGCCAGGTCCAGCTAGGGTTAACCCATGTTTTTAATAAACATAGCAGTTTCAGAGAAACTGCTATGTTTATAAATGGGTTAATCCAGCCCTCAAATCCTCTAGTGGCTGTCTCAGTGACAGCCGCTAGAGGCGCTTGCGTGATTCTCACTGTGAGGCGGTTATGTGTTTAAATAGAAGAGAGGAAATGGAGATCCTACCACAAGGAGGGGTCTCCGTGCCTATATAATAAAAAGACCCTCTAGTTCAGGTAGGCAGCTATGTGGGTGGGATGCAATGTCCATTTAGCCATTCAACTGGTTGTTACACACACTGCCACTGAGCAAGCCACCATGGATGCCTCAAAGTTCCAACATCCCAGGGGAGCCATGGGGCAGTTTGGAGACTATAGCAATCATAAAAAAAAAAGGTGTGCGCCGGAGGGCAAACAGTACTCGCCTGCCTTCCCCTGCATGCCGCCATTCATGTGGAGCAGCTGCTCACAGACAGATATATCCTTTTGGTGGGGACCAGGATAATCACCACCTGTCCAGAGGGGGTAAACTGGGTGGACCTCTTAATAAAAAATAGGTGTACCTGTGGACACCGACTCAAGAGTCCTCAAGGGCACTGGTCGCTTCCAGGCAGGTAACTGGCCACTTCTCCGTTCGCAAGTCGTACCAGGCTGCAACTTCAAACAAGAATTGAAGCTTTGTGGGTTCTTTCGGGATTGTCAGTAAAAGTTGCTAATAGCAAGCCCAGGTAAGTGGCTAGTTAAGTCGCAAAAGGCTTAGGCTAGCTCTCAAATGAACGGGATTCTCACGGAGCTCTCTGATAACACGTTTGCTTAGCTTAGCCAACTGTTCCTTTATTAGTAGCTGGATTACATTTACAATAAAATAACCAAAGCATCTTAGAAACTGTATACCAATATAAACTTAGCTTGCTAAGAATGGCTGTATTTAAAATGACAGCTACCCATTAAGGCTCCTCCTGAATAGCCACATTAACATCAAGCATACCAATACCATACACATGGGGTATTAGCTGTTTTAAACAACGATATAGATACTAATACAATACTTAATTATTATCTATATTTTTGTTTAGGAACAGCTGGATTACATCTTGCTGAGGATCCAAGCTTTTTCTGACAGTGCCCAGTCTGAGATTTCCTCATTGAAGCCTTAGATATCATTGGAAACCTGGACATAAAGTGAATAGGCACCGATTTCAGAACTATGGAGTTAAACTGTTTGTAAATAGTTTTGACCCCTTAAAGGGATTCTATAGTGTTAGGAATACAAAGTTGTATTCCTTATACTATAGTGCCCTCTGGTCCCGGCCCCCTTCTCCGGTATGGAAAGAGTTAAATAAAACTTATATTACTTACCCAATGCCAGCACCAATCTCCCTCTGCACTGGGTCCTCCTCTGACATCATTGGACGGGGGAGCCTAATGCACATGCGTGGCGAATTCATTAGACCCTCCCTATAGAAAAGCATTGCTTCAATGCTTTCCTATGGGGATTTCAGTGATGTTGATGTCCTCATTCAGAGTGTAAACACATCCAGCAACATTTAGATGACCAGGAGTCCATTAGGATCCAGGAAGTGCTTCTAGAGGCAGTCTTAATCCTGCAAGGTAATCATTGCAGTTTCTATAAAACTGCAGTGATTTACAATGTAGGATTAAGTGGCACTGGGTCTCTGCACTCAGACCACTTCAATGGGATGAAGTGGTCTGGGTGACTATAGTGTCCCTGTAAGGTAAGACAGTGCTCTGGATCTCCCGACACCAAAGCAACCTTATAGACATTCAGCGTTTACCATTAAGCAGTGTTTCATAAAAATGATTTAAAGGTTCATGATAGCTTTACGAATACCATGCCATAGTGCCCTACTTGCAAAGTAGTTTTAGTTTATACAGACATGCACCTGGCAGGTCTCTGTGCACAGCATCACTTACACACTGGTTTTGATGAAGAGCAAAAAAAGCAAATGAGCAGTAAATATGCCTTTATTTGCTAAACTTTATCTGTTGTCTTGCAAACCAAATTGAAACTTAGCACAAGTATACAATGTCCCTATCAGAAATCATTTATAACTCATGCCCTGCATAATGATTGCACTCACGTTTTCCAAATGTTTGTTAAATGAGTTTAACTTGCTTTATAATGTTTATTTTGCTTGTTTTATAGGAACTCATTGGGCAATCAAAGTAATTCGTGAATTGCTATATTCGTTGCAAAACAAGGAAGTGACAGTTGATCAAGCAATAATTGAATTTCTAAACCCAGAGAAAGTTGAGGTCAGTATTTCATGGGTTTTATTATTATTACCTAATCAATACATATAGTATATAACATATTGCTACTATATACATATGTATATACATATAGGAAAAGTGGAGAGCTATTGCACCTGGACTGAGTATTGTGCTTTAAGTGATAATGGCACTTATTTCTTTAAAAGTTCACAAAAAATTCAATAATATATAGCAGCACCTATGAAAGTGCAAACGCTCATGATATACACTACAGTAATACAAAACAAAATGAAAGAGATGCTATTAGCATACAGACCACTTCAGCTCATTGAAGTGGTTTGGATACAGTGTTGCTATAATGCACATAGTGCTGAAATATTAAACATTGCAGCACTAAGCAGTGATTATATCAAAGACAGCCACTGGAGCACCAAGGGACATCGGCACTTGGGTAAATAAGTTAATAAAAGGTTTTTAACCATTTTTTCATGTCAGTGGGGGAGGGGCATAATGAGCTATAGTGTTAGGAATACAGATTCCTTGTAAAGTGCATACAAATATATAATAAAGTGCTAAATGTGTACACACTTAATATAAAAGTGCATCAAACATATAGTGCAAAAATAGCTTCAAAGTGCTCAGAATTCACTTACAAAACTTGTTACATTCATAGAATATATGTAAATAAAAAACATAGATCTTACTCTTTTTTTAAACACTGACAGCTCTTGAAAACAGATAAAGATTTGGAACAATCATACCTGATAAACCAGTTGTTACATTTAGGGTTGCACCTAATTTTAAAATGATTTTAACACAATCACTCTGAAGAGGATGTAAAAAAGATTTTTTAACTGACAGAAAATGTTTTTATTCCCATAACAAGTGTATAGGATGCAGATACATCAAAAATAAAACTCTGAAAGGTGTAATAAATTTAGAACTTAAAACTGTGAGAAGGAATTTTACATTAATGGTTTTATCACTTGCTTTACTAGGAACGTAAGTTATCTTTTATTTTGTGCATGCAGCCTACAATATGTACACTGCACAATACATCCCTTGCTTTAAAGAATACGTGAGCATGTGAACAATATTTCAAAAGGCTATGAGCAACATAGCGTATCTGCACATTTTAAGAAATATAATATGAATCCGAAGGGGCTTATATTTTTAGGAATACAAACAGTCATGGAGAGGGGGTGATCATATTGCAAGTATAGATAGAAAGGAGATGAAATGGGTACATAAGCTTATGACATTGCAAAATAATGGGCTAAATATAAAATTTGACCTTTTTAACTTTTATAATAAACTTTTTAAATAGATTTGTAAGTATTTTTGCTAATTTATGTGATGTTTAACGTGGTCAAATATTTTCTCTTTTTTTCCCATTCATAAACTCATAAAATATATATCATATACATTTATGCATTTCAGTTAGTCACAATTAACTACAATTTAATGTTTTTTTTACCTGCCCTCTGCGTATTCAGGCACTCATTGGGCATACATTGTTTAGTAATTATGTTGCTAGGTGTTGCAACTGACTGTCTAAATTTATGTCAGGCTCAAATGTGGGCCTATACATGTGGTTGAGGGAAACAGAAATAAATTTGTATAAACATTCTCTGTACACAATTGTAAAAATTCCTTATCCTCTTTAAAGGGGAATATCTTCTAAATATCTAAAAATCTTCTTACTAAAACACCCACAACTCCTAAAAATGTATAATATGCATTTCAATTAGTTACCCTACATTGTATTGTTTCGTTATGGCTGCCCTCTTGGTATTCCAGCACTCATTGCCCCTACATTGTTTAGTAACAATGTGGCTAGGTCTTGCTACTGTCTGTCTAAATTTATGTCAGGCCCAAACTTGGGCTTATACATCTGGTTAGCATTTATGGTATTGCCTGTTTATAATCTGTTATTTCTCTGTCTATCACTTCTTACGTTGGTTTAGCCTTTTCTTCGCTCCACACGGGCCTAGTCAAACATACTTTAATATTATGTCGGTCATAACCTCAGGTCCAAATTTGGGCCTATACATGTTGTTAGCCTTTATGGCACTGCCTTGATAATAATCTGTTTTATTTCACTGCTCCACTGGCTACCCGTACTGCCACCGTATTCTTGGTATTTGCAGCGCCCAGCTTTTTACAAGGGTAAGAGTGGCTCCCATGTCACGGAGCCCTTGGACCTCCTTCCCTTGCAGGATTACGGTCTGCTGATGATGTTGGCAGTAATCTGTGTTGACCTGTAGTGGGTCCGCTTTGTACAGGACTTCTCTTTGCTCTACGGATGTTGCAGGGGCGGCGCACTGGTAGTAGTAGTGTGCTGCTGCTCCGGCGGGTGGTGGTGGCCAAGGGCTGTTCCACGGAGCCAGTCGCGGTTCTGCGGTCTCTGCGCACATGCCTCATCTTTTTACCGATGTGTCACTGGATGTGGTTTTGCAGGGGGAAGCGGGGCTGTGGGGCATTAGCATTATTAAATTGCCTTGGAGGTGGTACTGGAACAGGAGGTGCTGCTGCAGGTCTGAAGAAGTGTGTATTGAAGCAGTCTCTGCTGTCGGCAGGCATCCATATATTTGTTGGCCCACCTTGCTGCTTCAGTGATGATAGAAGGGTTGCGATCCCTTACTCACTCCTGGATGTCTGGTGCCAGTCCGTTAAAGAATTGTTCCATTAACACCAATTGTAGCAAGTCTTCCATTGTACTGGCTTTATGTGCTTGTACCCACCCAAGAGTGGCTCGATGCAACCGGCAGGCCCATGCAGCATGCGAGTCTTTGTCCGCCTCTATCAGGTCTCTAAACCGCCTTCTGTATGCCTCTGGCATGATGGCATACCTTGCGAGTATCACCTCTCTTACCCGGCCATAATTCCTGATTTCCTCGTCTGGGACAGTGCGGTAAACCTCCGCTGCTCTCCCTGATAGTCTGCTTGCCAATGGGGGAACCCATTTATCAACATCAGTGTAGGGCACACTGTCCTTATAAAAATCCTGGAGGAATGCATCATTATCTTCCTCCGCCTCTACATAGTTTTTAAATGCATCATATGGTATTTTGAGTTTACCTTCTTGCACCATTGTCACTGCTTGGGTTCTTTCATGGGTTTGTTGATCCCTTTGCCTTAGCACGAACTCCTGGACCTCCAACATGGTTCGTGCAATAATGTCTGTAGATGGGCTTTCGCTATAAAAAGACAACCGAAATTGTAATTCCCTTTGGAAATCTGTCTGTTCCTGTTCGTGTACCGAACCGCCATCTGTTCGGTATTCCACCATTACTTCATCAATGAGATTAGCCTTTTTCTTTTTCCTTGCTGATATCCCTCTCGCTTCTAGGAGATCCTTTAGCATGGACCATTTCAGGATGGAGTAGTCAATCTCCATCCACGGTCCATCTGTCACTGCTAAATCCACTGGTTCTTGTTCTTCTGTGAGCTGTATATCTCGACCCTGTCAACCAATGTAGCAGAGCCCTAGTCCTTGCAGAGACTTTCCTCCACTGGTTACACCAAATTACAGTCAACAACAAGTAACACAATCCAATGGAACAGTCAGGTACAGCAAAGTAATTCAAGAATCTCCCACCTCATCCCCAGCAACTGGACAACACCCAGCTCTGGGGGTATAACTGAATTGTATTCACACATACACAGCTTTTATGCCATCTCCCATGCAAGGGGTCTCACAGGCAGAAAATGCAGGGGTTCAAATCCCAGGATCCCTTGTGCCTGAGAGATAAACTCCTCCAATTTAATTATCTCTCAGGTACAAAAAATCCCCAAAATATCCCATTCCGCAAAAGTCCCCCAACCAACCATGGGAACCCCACAAAAGCACATCCCCTGATAGCCCCGATCTGAGTGACCGACATATCCAAGAATCACTCAGATTGGTTTGGTAGAACAGGAACGGTATCGTGTGGAAGATTTGACCGGCCAGACAGGTAGTAGCCCCAAATAAATAGTTCCAGGAGAATACGTGCCTTTGCCGGTCTCTGTTTGTGAGGTTCCTGTGCAAAAACCATACAAGGGAATCTCTTGCTTTCATGATACAAATGCTCACCCTGTTCGGTACTTCATATCTCCCGAACGCCGTTTGTGTAGGTGTTCGGGAAAAGGAACGGGCAGTGGTCGAAAGTTTACTGGTGTTCGTGTGAGTGCCTAGCCAAAAAGGCTTGGCACTCGACGACCAAGTATCGCTGCCACATGTTTGGTTATATGAACGGCGGCAACACAGGGGGAAGCGCTCATTAAATGTTTCCCTTGCGGTCTCACACTTAAGTAATGGCTGACAACGTTCTAATGGGGCACAGGGGTGGTCCTCGTTCGGGAGGTGAACGGTTTTCATTTGGATGAAGTCTCCCGAACGGACAAAGTGTAATCACATGAAATATATAGGATAAAACACAGTATGTAACAGGGGGTGTACAGACAGCCAAGGCAGGGAATAAAAGTTGTTGGTGCGGATCCGTTCCACTACAGCATACTACCCCATTATGCTGCATGTTATCAAGAATGCACCTATCCTTCAGGCCCTCCTTAAGCATTCTCCTTGAGTAACTAATTCCATTATCATCTACATTATCTTTACCTCACATTAAGCACTCGAGTCTACCTGCTTCTACTTGGGTGGTTTCATTATCTCCTTCATAGGTCTCAGATTGAAACTGTGCACATAGCTTCAGTTGTAAGTAAATATGATTATAACTGGTCTTGTTTCAGTTCCTAAGCCTTCACACGTGGCCTTATTAGGCCTTCATTACATTCCCATCATATGGCCCTCTGTGGGTGGCATTATGACATACCCACCCCTAATTTGGGCTTTGCATAAGTACCTTCCTGCTGCATGAGGTGTGTGTATGTATATATTTATATTTATATATATATATATATATATAAATATATATATATATATATATACACACACACACACACACACTCACACACACTACTCCTTCTAACAACATTTCATTACATCACTTGCTAGGCCTAAACCAACCAGCCTTTATGGCCCTATCTTGGCCTGCGACACTCACTAGTAAATTAATCCCTTATTCTAAGCATTGTGTCACTTTTTTATTGCACAGTAATAACAAGTATTATGGATCACGTCACCTACATCAGGACCTACATACATTTCGGTGTTGGTGATGTACTAGTCACACTTTGACTTTGGCCTCAGATGGCCTCCACTAATTACTTCATTATTACCCTTCTAGCCTAACTGATCTTCCACAGAGATTTCACAACTCCTATACCACGATACGAGTATCCTTAATTTCTTCATTCCATATATCTATTCCCCATATACACCTCTACTTCTGTATCCTGCCTCTCATGACTAATTCTCCAGCTTCACTCTTCCTACACATTTTCTCCTTACCTCTCATATTGGGCCACTTCTATCTTGCACAATATTTGTAAGTAATAGGTGCTGATTCACTATGAAATATCTTTAGTGTCGGTTACATAATCGTCATCATTTGGCATCGATCTTATAGATGGCCCTCCACCACATTCCACGTTGCCACCTTTCAGTCTGACTACTCTTCCTACCTTTATATTTGCACATGTCTACACCAGGACTGCCCAAAGGGGCCAACATGCCCAAAAAGGGTCAGAGTCTGCCCGAAGAACTAGGTCAGCCTGGTGTAAATGCATCTATGTACGTATTAGGGAATCGTGATGCAGCATAGTAACAAACTATCCCAATTCACCACCCAAATAGTGACAGAGAACGTAGTATGGATGAAACAAGCCACAGCATTTATTATAACATATGACAAATACTGCATAACACTTCCATAATTTATTTTAACCCCTTAAGGACAGAGCCAAATGTACACGTTGTGAACAAAACAAAATGTAAACAAAACCTGGCATTTGCGCTACATGTCTGCCCAATCGTAATTCACCTCTTTCATAGTAAATGCATCCACCCTTATTATATATCATTTTATTCAGGGGAAACAGGGCTTTCATTTAATATCAAATATTTAGCTATGAAACATAATTTAACATGAAAAGAATTGGAGAAAATAAGATTTTTTTAAAATTTTTTTAGTTCTACATGACATTTTAACGGTCAATGTCATAATACTGTTTGCTTTTATTGCAATAAAATACACATATTTGTATTCAGCAAAGTCTCACGTGTAAGACAGTACCCCCTATGTACAGGTTATATGGCATTTTGGGAAGTTACAGGGTCAAATATAGCACGTTACATTTGAAATTGAAATTCGCCAGATTGGTTACGTTGCCTTTGAGACTGTATAGTAGCCCAGGAATGAAATTTACACCCATAATGGCATACCATTTGCAATAGTAGACAACCCAAGGTATTGCAAATGGGGTATGTCCAGTCTTTTTTAGTAGCCATTTGGTCACAAACACTGGCCAAAGTTAGCGTTAGTATTTGCTTGTGTGTGAAAAATGCAAAAAACGCCAATTTTGGCCAGTGTTTGTGACTAAGTGGCTACTAAAAAAGACTGGACATACCCTGTTTGCAATACCTTGGGTTGTCTACTATTGCAAATGGTATGCCATCATAGGGGTAATTTTCATTCTTGGGCTACCATAGGGTCTCAAAGGCAACGTAACCAATCTGGCGAATTTTAATGTGAAAAAAATGAAACACAAGCCTTATATTTGATGCTGTAACTTTTGAAAACACCATAAAACCTGTACATGAGGGGTACTGTTGTACTCGGGAGACTTCGCTGAACACAAATATTTGTGTTTCAAAACAGTAAAAAGTATCACAGCAATAATATCGTCCGTGTAAGTGCTGTTTGTGCGTGAAAAATGCAAAAAACTTCACTTTTACTGGCGATATCATCGTTGTAATACATTTTACTGTTTTGAAACACTAATATTTGTGTTCAGCGAAGTCTCCCGAGTAGAACAGTATCCCCCATGTACAGATTTTATGGTGTCTTGGAAAGTTATAGGGTTAAATATAGTGCTAGCAAATTAAATTCCCTTTACTTTTGGCATGGGTTGTCAGACAGGTCCCGCTAATTGTAATTAATTAAGATACCTAATTATGTAAAAATATTACATAAATATATATGTAGAATTAATATATGTGTGTATATATATATATATATATATACACATGTGTATATATATATGTATATATCTATATAATTTTTTAAAAATATTTTTATTTATATATGGGTATATATATAGTGATATACGTATATATTTATGTATATAGATATATATATTATTTCGTTCTACGTGTATTTTGATATATATATATATATATTAATTTCACAATACAGTTAGAACGAAATAACACACATCTATATATTTTTTAATTATTTACTTTTTAATAATTTTTGTTAACGTATTAACATATTTATTTTTTATATTATATATAAATATATATATAACAATAATTATATATATATTTAATCAGTATCAGTCTACGTGTAATTTGATATTAATATATATATAATTATATATATATTAATAGTAAAATACACCTAGACAGTGTACGTGTGTGTATGTATGTATATATATATATATATATATATATATATATGATCTAAGTATATATTATTTTATTTTTTACACTTTTTCATTTATTTAATTTTATTTTCAGCCAGCAGGGGGACCACCTGTCATTACTGGCAGCCCCCTGCTGGCAATGCAGGAGGCAGCTACCCCTGGCCATGTGATTGTGGGGTCCTCGCAAGGACCCCACTCTCACATGGCCGGGGGGCTTCCAGGACGTCGGATGTGCCCGGGTAAGTAGGAATTACTATTACGCCCGACGGCGTTTAGAGCCGCTTAGAATAGGGCGTAATAGTACGCCCTCCGGTTTTAAGGGGTTAATATTCTCCTTTCTTTGATATAACCAAAACGTCAAACATAAATAACCATAACTTAGCATATAACTTAAAACATAAAGTCATACAGTATAACCCCAGCATCCTTGCCAATATACTGACCATGATCCTATGTGCCACTTCCTCTCACCTCCCCCCTCAACATAAATTCCTTTTCCTTCCAATGCTTACCACCAGCCGACCTTTTTCCTCGCTCGGTGGGCACGTCCAAACAGGTAACCTAAGGTTAACCCTTTAGAGCAGGGGAGGTTGAGACCTAAAACTCGATCACTTCATTTCACAACCTAACTGCCGCAAAACCATGGGGCGGGCGGGAACGAAGCTGTTTGCTGGCCCGAATCCCAAGTATCACTGAGGTAAGACCACCCCCCACCAAACACACACCACATAATCCCACCCACACATTTATACACAACCAATCACACGCATCCATACCCACACTCATACATGTGCCCTTGTCCGCTTAGCGGTGCTATCTCCCCAGGGCCTTGACAGGCTGCCTGCCAATCATGCAGACTGGCCAGCAAAATGCATACAATGCAGACAGCACCCTGAGCTTGGAATAAATGCATCTAATGATGCGCTCGCTCCATACTTTCTAAGAACTAAAGCAGCAAAAGTATTTGCATATTGTGCAAAGTCAGCTTTACCTTAACTAATTTCTTTGCCAGCCAGGCCACACAGGCTTTGTTCCCCTACATCCCTCTCACATTTTCATACCTAAAGGACCACTCAACACCCTAAAAAGCACTTCAGCTTGCCCTGGGGACACCTACAGAGTCAGGTAAATATCAAATGTTTGTAAATAGTTTGAGAGCTTATTTTGAGATGGTGCCAGGGATTACCTGGCACCATAACTGCTACATTATGCTGCAGTGGTCATTGTGCATAAAATTGCCCTTTAACAATACCCATTATAAAGTAAAACCACAAGTACCAATGTAAGCAGCTGAAATACTTTGTACTTAGGTTTTTTTAATTTTTTTATTCTACATATTGTATAATAGTTGGTTTATTCACTAAGCAGTAAATAGTGATGAAGGAAAAACCAGATTACCAAACTGCAAAAAAATTGAAAGTGATTTGTAAAGTGGAGAAGTGTCAGACACAACCTAACTCTACCCTTTTTTGTTTTTTTAGCATTTGAAAGGAAAACCATCTCCAAGACTCTTTGCAACACATATGTATCCTGATGACCTGCCTAAATCCTTTTTTGAAAAGAAAGTGAAGGTGAAGTTTCCAGTCCAATGTATTTTCCTTAGCTATCTGTCAAATGTACAAAACAGTAATGACTCAGTCATATTATTTTTCATAAAGCAAACAGCACAATAAGGGTGCGCCTAAAATATATACTAAGATATATAAAATGCAATCAACTAATAGATAATAAAACAATTTTAATAATATATATAAAATAAACAATAGTCCAAAACTTATCACAGTTCGTGATGGTAGGTCCCACGTGTATAAAAGAAAATTCTTGAGATGTGGAGTGAGATCTTGAGATGTGGAGTGAGATCAAATCTTCATAACCGTATGCTTGGAATTCAGTGAAGCATATGTGAAGAAAAGAGAAGACAGAACTCCAATGGCACAGTATATAGATGCGTAAAAAATAAATAAAATAGTGAAAAAGGTCTTACTCACACTTTTCAGAGCTGAAAAATCCAGCTCTGATATTGCGCGCACGAAGTGGAATTGTCCCCACTCAAGGACATACAGAGTAGACTTCAGTTGGTGGTTCTCTGACACACGTTCGACGTCCCAATTGATGTTATTAGACCCAGAAAAAAAGAATAAAATATATAGTGCTCTCTGTATTATGGTGAAAAGTTAAGAGTATAAAATATATATATTACTCACATTCTTTTGAGCAGGTTTGTACTGCTCAATATAAGCGCCCGGGTGGTATAATCCCCACCTATGGATTCTTTATGCTTCTTCTAAAATTGGCAATATAAGTAGTCAGGTGGAAAGAAAGAAAAATGGCAATAAAATATTATATGCCAAAAAGATTTCTTTATTATAGAGTAGTAAAATTATATAGTAATAAAATTATCTAAACGCTTTTCGCCTCAAGGGCTTCTTCAAGTAGATAGTAGTAGAAAGAGGGGCACACCTGACATGCACAAGTTTATATAAGATTTAAAGTTTAAAATTCCCGCCAAAATTACATCATCAAAATCTTCAAAATTAATACAATCACAAAACAGTAATTTGCCATGGGTATATAAACATAGTAAAGAATATGAGGTAGATGCAGTGGTTAATATACAAAAACGAGGGTTATAAATACATAAATAAGCTTAAAAAGAAGCAATCACGTGACGCGCGATTAAAAACACTTCCGCGTCACGTGATGCTAGATGGAACGCATGCGTTCCGTTCATATGGAACGCATGTGTCATATGGGAGGGGAGAACTGTCCCGAGCAGCCAGAAAGCCTGCTGAGCAGAGAGAAAGCTGTCTGCTCGAAATAGCAGGCGGACAGCTATTACAATGGCACATAGAGCTTACTGTCTGCCTGCACAAGCAGGCAGACAGCATGATCATACAGAAGCACAAGTTCAAAACTCTTGGTGGGAACATGGCATAAGAATAGAACTGAGTGGAGAAACATGATAGCAGCAAGATATTATAAAGTTAATACAATGTTAAAAATCACATGATATACCCAATAAAAGAAATAAAATACCCATTAAATAATAAAATAATACAATGATGTGAAGGATAATATATCCATTAAATATAAAAATTATGATATAAGCAGTAAAATGAAAATAATAAAAAAGAAAAAAAAGAAATGGATAAATAATGAATTGTAAAAGAGTGTTAATTATAAAAAAATTAAAAAGATCAAAATCTATATTTAAACCTGTGGGGGCAAGGGTTTTCAGATTATATGCCCATTCCATTTCTTTTTTACCAAGAACTTTTTTAATATCTCCGCCTCTCCATGGAACGTTACATATATCTATACCCAGGGCCGGTGCAAAGAATTTTGGGTACATAGGCGAAGATGCATTTTTCCTCCCCCCCCCAAAAACATATTCGCCCATGTGCCTCTTAACCTCCCTTTTGTGTTTCTTATCCCGTCTTTTAAATATCTGACTCCCTTTAGTGTATTTTATCTCCTATTTTTGCCTTTGTGTGTCTCCTATCTCTCCTCTTTGTGTCTTTTATTCTTCCCAGCTCCTTTGTGTGTCTCTTTCCTTCTCAAGCCCCGCTGTGTGTTTCTTTTACATCCAGCCCCTCTCCCTGTCCCTTAATGGTCCCCTCCCTTCTCTGACCCTTACTGTTCCTCTCCCTTCTCTCCTCCTTTTCCCTGTTCCTCAGTGTTCCTTTCCCTTCCCCCCTCCTTTCCCTGTCCCTTAGTGTTCCTCTCCCCTCCCCCCTCTGTTCCCTGTTGCTTAGTGTTCCTCTCCCCCTCCCTCCTTTTCCTGTACCTTAGGGTATCTCTCCTTAGGGTATCTCTCACAGACACTGTCCCTTGGTGCGCCACCCACCCCCATAGTGGTCCCCTCCCCTTCCTGGTGTGCCTCCTACCTTTCTTGTAGCGTGGCTGAGCGGAGCGAATCCCGGTACAGTGAGCTTTTCCTGTCAGTCCTGCTAGGTACAGGAAACAGAAGTTCCTGTACCACGGTACACTCCGCTTGGCCACGCTACAGTCAGGGGTGTAGAAACACTGACAGTCACACACACTCAATGACAAACACACAGACATCTCTGACAGCCAGACTCACTTATCTGACACTCATTCATTGACAAACACACACACACACAAACTCACAGACACTGACAGACACATGTACTCACATGCACACACGCACATACTGACAGACACTCACTCACACACACACACTGACAGAACCACACACACACACACACATATTCACATACACACACACACACTGACAGACACACATACACACACACACACATACACACACACACACACACACACACACACACACACACACACACACACACATACACACACACACACACTGACAGACACACTCACTCACATACTGACAGACACACATACACACACACACTGACTGACAGACAGACACACACACTCCACACACACTGACAGACACACATACACACACACACACACACACTGACGAACGCACATACACACACACACACTGACAGACACACACACACACACGCACGACAGACACGCACACACACACTGACAGACACACATACACACACACACTGACAGACACGCACACACACACACACTGGCAGACACTCACTCACACTGACGTTTGTACACACTGACGGCCACACACTCACTCCCACACGCTGACAGACACACATACACACACACTGACAGACGCACACACACACACTGACAGACACACACACACACACACACTGACGAACTACACATACACTGACAGACACGCATACACACACTGACAGACACGCACACACGCGACAGACGCACATACACACGCGGTGGGGCACACACACACTGACAGACACACACACACGCACATACACACACTGACAGACACACACACACACTGACAGACGCACACACACACACACACACTGACGGACACACATACACACACACACTTGTGAACCACACACACACACTGACAGACGCACGCACACACTGACGGACACTCACACGCGGCAGACACTCACACACTGACAGACACACATACACACACACACACGCGGCAGACTACTTGCTCACACACACACTGAGCAGACGCACACTCCCGCACACACACTGACAGACGCACTCGCACTCCCACACACACGCGACGGACGCACATACACACACACTGACGGACACACACACACACACGCAGCGGACACACATACACAGACACACACACTGACAGACACACACACACTGACAGACACACATACAGTGACAGACACACATACACTGACAGACACACATACACACACACTCACTCACATGCACACACACACTAACAGTAATTAATCATCTAAATTAAATTAAAATTTCCCACCCAGCCTCCCTACCTGGAGAGCTGGCGTGGGTCTCTCATTGGTGGTCCAGTGGGGCTGCTGGGAGGCGTGCGGCTGAACTGGATGCCGAGGTGGCGAGGGAGCTCTGATCTCTCTGATCTGCTCCCTCGCAGGCTGTTTACTGATGCCGCGGGAGCCGGAATATGACGTCATCAGTAAGCAGCCTGCGAGGGAGCAGATCAGAGAGATCAGAGCTCCCTCGCCAACTCGGCATCCAGTTCAGCCGCACAACGCGCCGGGGATCCAGGAGGTGACCTGGCAGGAGGGAGCACTTCCCTCCTGCCGGTCACTTGAATTTTGCGCCCCCTGAGCCGGTGCGCCCTAAGGCGGCCGCCTGTGCCGCCTTATGGACGCGCCGGCCCTGTCTATACCTAAACATTTAAGATATTTTGGATTCTTTCCATGTTGTAGAAAATGTTTAGAGACAGAGTGATTCTCATAGCCTTTTAGGATATTCCTGCAATGTTCAGCTCGTCTAGTTTTTAGGTCTCTAGTGGTCATACCCACATATTGTAGCCCACATGGACATTCCAGGAGATAGATTACATTTTTCGTATTACAGTGGATGAAATGTTTTATTTGATATGTTTTTTGTGTAATTGTAGATGTAAACGATGTAGTTTTGGATTTGATGAGGTTACTTGTACGTTTGCAAACTATGCATCTATTACATTTAAAGAAACCGCTAGGTTTATTCAAAAAAGTAGAAGGGCTAGGGGATAAGGTGCTGTGTTTATATTTGGTGTAATTGCTTGTGAGGATGGACTTAAAGCTGGGTGCCCCCCTGAATATAACTTGTGGTTTCTCGGGGATAATTCCAGCCAAAGTCTCATCTTGTTTTAATATATGCCAATGTTTCTTTATGATCTTCTTCATAACATTACTTTTGTTATTGAAGTCGAAAATAATTGGCAAAGCTGGGGCGGTTTTCACTTCTTTATTTGCTTTATATTCTAAGAGTTCGGATCTATTGGTTCCACTGATATTTTTTAGCGTCTGGTCTAAATTGTTCCTGGGATAATTTTTTTTTTTTTTTTTTTGAGACCAAACGCTAAAAAATATCAGTGGAACCTAGATCCGAACTCTTAAATATAAAGCAAATAAAGAAGTGAAAACCGCCCCAGCTTTGCCAATTATTTTCGACTTCAATAACAAGTAATGTTATGAAGAAGATCATAAAGAAACATTGATTAAAACAGATGAGACTTTGGCTGGAATTATACCAAATATAAACACAGCACCTTATCCCCTAGCCCTTCTACTTTTTTGAATAAACCTAGCGGTTTCTTTAAATGTAATAGATGCATAGTTTGCAAACGTACAAGTAACCTCATCAAATCCAAAACTACATCGTTTACATCTACAATTACACAAAAAACATATCAAATAAAACATTTCATCCACTGTAATACGAAAAATGTAATCTATCTCCTGGAATGTCCATGTGGGCTACAATATGTGGGTATGACCACTAGAGACCTAAAAACTAGACTAGCTGAACATTGCAGGAATATCCTAAAAGGCTATGAGAATCACTCTGTCTCTAAACATTTTCTACAACATGGAAAGAATCCAAAATATCTTAAATGTTTAGGTATAGATATATGTAACGTTCCATGGAGAGGCGGAGATATTAAAAAAGTTCTTGGTAAAAAAGAAATGGAATGGGCATATAATCTGAAAACCCTTGCCCCCACAGGTTTAAATATAGATTTTGATCTTTTTAATTTTTTATAATTAACTCTCTTTTACAATTCATTATTTATCCATTTCTTTTTTTTCTTTTTTATTATTTTCATTTTACTGCTTATATCATAATTTTTATATTTAATGGATATATTATCCTTCACATCATTGTATTATTTTATTATTTAATGGGTATTTTATTTCTTTTATTGGGTATATCATGTGATTTTTAACATTGTATTAACTTTATAATATCTTGCTGCTATCATGTTTCTCCACTCAGTTCTATTCTTATGCCATGTTCCCACCAAGAGTTTTGAACTTGTGCTTCTGTATGATCATGCTGTCTGCCTGCTTGTGCAGGCAGACAGTAAGCTCTATGTGCCATTGTAATAGCTGTCCGCCTGCTATTTCGAGCAGACAGCTTTCTCTCTGCTCAGCAGGCTTTCTGGCTGCTCGGGACAGTTCTCCCCTCCCATATGACACATGCGTTCCATATGAACGGAACGCATGCGTTCCATCTAGCATCACGTGACGCGGAAGTGTTTTTAATCGCGCGTCACGTGATTGCTTCTTTTTAAGCTTATTTATGTATTTATAACCCTCGTTTTTGTATATTAACCACTGCATCTACCTCATATTCTTTACTATGTTTATATACCCATGGCAAATTACTGTTTTGTGATTGTATTAATTTTGAAGATTTTGATGATGTAATTTTGGCGGGAATTTTAAACTTTAAATCTTATATAAACTTGTGCATGTCAGGTGTGCCCCTCTTTCTACTACTATCTACTTGAAGAAGCCCTTGAGGCGAAACGCGTTTAGATAATTTTATTACTATATAATTTTACTACTCTATAATAAAGAAATCTTTTTGGCATATAATATTTTATTGCCACTTTTCTTTCTTTCCACCTGACTACTTATATTGCCAATTTTAGAAGAAGCATAAAGAATCCATAGGTGGGGATTATACCACCCGGGCGCTTATATTGAGCAGTACAAACCTGCTCAAAAGAATGTGAGTAATATATATATTTTATACTCTTAACTTTTCACCATAATACAGAGAGCACTATATATTTTATTCTTTTTTTCTGGGTCTAATAACATCAATTGGGACGTCGAACGTGTGTCAGAGAACCACCAACTGAAGTCTACTCTGTATGTCCTTGAGTGGGGACAATTCCACTTCGTGCGCGCAATATCAGAGCTGGATTTTTCAGCTCTGAAAAGTGTGAGTAAGACCTTTTTCACTATTTTATTTATTTTTTACGCATCTATATACTGTGCCATTGGAGTTCTGTTTTCTCTTTTCTTCACATATGCTTCACTGAATTCCAAGCATACGGTTATGAAGATTTGATCTCACTCCACATCTCAAGATCTCACTCCACATCTCAAGAATTTTCTTTTATACACGTGGGACCTACCATCACGAACTGTGATAAGTTTTGGACTATTGTTTATTTTATATATATTATTAAAATTGTTTTATTATCTATTAGTTGATTGCATTTTATATATCTTAGTATATATTTTAGGCGCACCCTTATTGTGCTGTTTGCTTTGTGTTCCTTCCTATTACCAGGGGATTAGAGGGGATTCCCCTTTGAGGAGTGCAGCCTTTTTTCTCACTGTGGCCATTTAGCGCTGATTTTTTTCCTGTTTTTTATATTATTTTTCATACCAGCTTTTTCGTCAGATACAGTTGTATTCAAAATTATTCAGCCCCTTTTGAAACTAAGGTTTATTATCAAAATTTACAGACTTTCAGCTGTTTGCAGTGAACACATCAGACAAACAATTAATGCTTCAAGTGGTTTCCCCAAAATCAACAGAAAATGCAACTTTTAATGACTTCACGGACTCAATTATTCAACCCTCTGAAAAAAATACTTCACAACACACATTTATGCAAGATAGGTGTTGTCTCAAGTACACATAATGCAGCTAATCAAGGACTTCATTAGCGGCACCAGATGTGTTTGAGCTAGAACACTTGAAATACCTGAACTGGCTAGAGCAGGCTTCCCCAAACTCTGACCATCCAGATGTTGCTGAACTACAACTCCCATGTTTCTCAGCCTATTTCATTCATAGAATCATGGGAGTTGTAGTTCAGCAACATCTGAAGGGCCAGAGTTTGGGGAAGCCTGGGCTAGAGGTTTGTTGAGTGTCACGTTTGACTGCATGTTAGAAATATGGCCAAGAGGGGGCGGTGCTTAGCGATTGAAGAGAACGGTCGCATGCTCTCTGAGCTCCGGGCCGCGACACGGGCAAGAACCCACTTCTAACCCCCTTACAAGTGCCACACTCACCCCAGGGTGAGCCCAGCGCACAGCCGAGCCCAATGGGGCGAAAAACCAAAAAACTCAAACCCGAAAGACCCACGAGGGGCATGGATATCGGCGAGTTATGGCGGCAAGCCCGAGGCGCCACAGGCTCCAATATGGCGTCCCTACACGGCGGGTGCTCTGATTTCTATGAAGAGACGTCAGATGAGGGTGAAGGGGAGCTTCAGCCATCACCAGCTCGAACGCAACCCCCAACGCAACCCCTGCCGACTACTATGGCCCCCACGCCGGTGAGCATGGAAGCCATTAGAGATCTTATGGCGGAACATCACAAAAAGATTGCGGCGGATGTCGCCTCGATTAGAGACACATTACAGGGTCTTACTGGACGGATCGGGACCGTGGAAAACACCATGACCACCCAAACCGGCCAAATACAAACGCTGCAACAGGAGGTTCAGGAGTTGAAACAGCTAGCTGGGCAGAATGACCTCCGATTTGCCGCACTTGAAGACAAACGCCGCCTAAAGCACCTTAAGGTTAGGGGCATCACCGACAATATTCCTGATGCTGAACTACCCCACGTTACTAGGCGGCTCCTTACGGCTCTACTAACCCAGAGAGTTGCCAAAGCGGTGTTAATAGATGGAATTTTTCGCATTCCAAAGCCCACTGGGGCCCCAGCCACAGCTACGAGAGATGTCGTCCTGCAGTTCCAAACCTACAAGGATAGAGCCGCAGTATTAGCAGCCACCAGAGATCAACCAGCCTACCACTTTGAAGAAATGGCTCTCACCTTCTACCCTGATCTCTCGGGGGCAACATTGGCCTGGAGGAGGTCCCTGCAACAACTGACTTCCCTCCTGCGAGCACAACACATCAGGTACCTCTGGGGCCCGGCTCATACTCTACTGGTCACCAAGGGCGACACCACACTCACAGTGCGCAGCATGCAGGAGGCACCGGCGACACTAAGACAGCTGAATCTCCCACCGGACTTACCGGCTCTACCGACACCAAAGGGTAGGCACGCGAATCCACCGACTTGGAGCATGGCCGGCGCTGCAGAATTCATCCCTAGAAGACACACCGGTGTACCTAAAGAAGCAGCCACCACCTGACAATATTGAAACATCAGGACTATAACTTACCTTGCCGGGACTCTACCCTAACATAATGATTTCACCTTGGACTGCTGCTCCCGGGTGAGCTAACACCCTGCTTTGCGGATGGCAGCACTCCTTTACCCACCGACATATGCACATCACCCGATAACACTAGGACCCACTATGGGTGGTCTCACTAGGAAGATGCTGAGATACCCTTCGCATTCCTGACACCACACAGGCACCCTAACCTACCCGCCCAGTAACCAGGAGCTGACAGTTAGCCTCTACCTGGCTCCCCTCATGCGAGCGCTGACCCCCGCGCATATGACCATGAAGGTCCCTCTTAACCTACCAACTAGCAGACATTACACGCACCCCCAAGCAATGTAATCACACGGTAGACACGCCTAAACACATAGACATAATCTATAACAGTCCCGCCCAGAAGAACACACCACCCTACCTGCACTAATACAACCCAGCCTCCGATAACCCACCATAAACACACAGTGCATACATCTCTCACCACTACGGCTGTGTTATGTATACAAGACAATATGCATTAATCTTAGAATGTTGTATAATTATTTTTACCTGTTCCAATGTTAGACTACACAGTGTAACCTTATTAACCTCTAAGCAAACTTAATCATAACTGCATATCGTTCCAACATGTATCTAACCGCAAAAACTAATAATTGTGCACAGTATTTCCTATGCCATGATACCAGCTGTTGTATATCGGTCTCTTACCGCTGTTGTGGCGTAACAGACCTAACTGTCATTCTATGCACGAACAAAAATAAAGAATTAAAAATAAAAAAAAGAAATATGGCCAAGTCCAAAGAATAGTCCACAAAGTTGAGAGAAGAGATCATTGCTTTTCACAAACAAGGAACAGGATACAAAAAGATAGCGGAGGTACTGAATGTTCCTAGAGACACCAATGGAAGCATAGTTTGGAAGTTCAAAGTTGAAAAAACACCTGGACAGTGGCAGATAAGGGAAACTATCAATGGCTGCAACTAAAAACTTGAGTGACTGCAAAAGACTTGGTGGCAACAGGTTGCAATGAGCACAGTAAGGCTAAATGCAGAAGGTTTCCATGCCAGAACTCTAAGATGTACGCCATTACTGACCCAAAAGCACAGGAAAAGTTGGCTTAAATAAGCTGCAGAAGTTTTGGAATTCTTTTCTGTGGAGCAATGAAACAAAACTGGAACTTTTAGGCTCAATGTATCAGCGGTATGTCTAGAGGACGAAGAATGAAGCATAGGCTAATAAGAATACTCTGCCTGCAGTTAAGCATAGTGGTGGCTCGGTGATGCTCTGGGGCTGCTTTGCATCTTCTTCACTGGAAACCTGGAGTGTGTGGAAGACAATTCATTGGAGTATCAGAAAATCCCAGGAGAAAACGTGTTGCTATCTGTGAGATAGCTGAAGCTTGGGCATCATTGAGCCTTCCAACAAGACAATGATCCCAAGAATATCCCAAATTCACCTAAGGCTTGGTTGCAGGAGAAGTCCTGGAAAATTATTTAGTGGCCATCACAGTCACCCAACTTGAACCCCATAGAAAATCTCTGTTGGGATTTGAAGAAGGCAGTTGCAGCATGCAAACCCAAGTCAATATCTGAACCAGAGACCATTGCTAATGAGAAATGGGCTAATATTCCTTAGGAACACTGCCAGAAGCTTGTGTCTAGCTATGCATCTTATTTGCAGGAGGACGTCTGCGAAAGGGTTTCCTTACGAAGTATTAAAGATGCTTGCCATAAAGGCGTTGAATTATTTTTAGACTGGAGAAATCATTATAAGTTGCATTTTCAGTTGATCTTGGGAAAACCACTTGAACCATTTGTTGTGTTTAGCTATTTCAATGGCTTTTGTTTGATTTGTTTATTGCAAACAGCTGAAAGTCTGTAAATTTTGACAATAAACTTGATTACAACTGTATAGCCTTTTTATTGTACAAGAAATAGTCATGTTATAGATAATTTACAATTTTAAAATCTTAAAATGTTACTAACATTATTATGATTATGATTTACATTTTATGTCATCTTCTTTAGACGCTACTAATTCTCCGTAATCCCAAAGATACAGCAGTGTCATATTATCATTTTGCCAACAAAAATCCTCTGCTTCCTTCATTTGACTCTTGGGAATTGTTTTTCGAAGCATATATGGAAGGAAAAGGTAAACCTAAACAAATACATTGAAAATGCACAGAGCCACCTAATTTTATTTACTTTCATGTGTATTCCTTTGTTTTACCCTTCTCAACTGCGTTTATATGGACTAGGCTCCATTTTTCTTGCTACTTGCTTTAGGTTATCAATTTTGGTTACCGTATATACTCGAGTATAAGCCGACCCGAATATAAGCCGAGGCCCCTAATTTTACCCCAAAAAACTGGGAAAACGTATTGACTCGAGTATAAGACTAGGGTGGGAAATGCAGCAGCTACTGGTAAATTTCTAAATAAAATTAGATCCTAAAAAAAATTATATTAATTGAATATTTATTTACAGTGTGTATATGATGAATGCAGTGTGTGTGTATGAATGCAGTGTGTGTATGAGTGCAGTGTGTGTGTATGAATGCAGTGTGTGTGTATGAATGCAGTGTGTGTATGAGTGCAGTGTTTGTGTATGAGTGCAGTGTGTGTGTATGAGTGCAGTGTGTGTATGAGTGCAGTGTGTGTGTATGAGTGCAGTGTTTGTGTATGAGTGCAGTGTGTGTGTATGAATGCAGTGTGTGTGTATGAATGCAGTGTGTGTGTATGAATGCAGTGTTTGTGTATGAGTGCAGTGTGTGTGTGTGTGATGCAGTGTTTGTGTATGAGTGCTGTGTGTGTATGAATGCAGTGTGTGTGTATGAATGCAGTGTGTGTGTGTGTGTGTGTGATGCAGTGTGTGTGTATGAATGCAGTGTTTGTGTATAAGTGCAGTGTGTGTATGAATGCAGTGTGTGTGTGTGTGATGCAGTGTGTGTGTATGAATGCAGTGTGTGTGTGAGTGCAGTGTGTGTGTGTGTGTTGCAGAGCCTTGGTGGGGGGGTGGGCATTTTTATAAAAAAAAAAAATTTTATTATTATTTTTTTTTGTTTTGTTATATTATTATTTTTTTAATAATTTTTTTATTATTATTTTTATTATTTTTTTTATTATTATTTATGTATTATTATTTTATTTATTTTGTTGTCCCCCCTCCCTGCTTGATACATGGCAGGGAGGGGGGCTCTCCTTCCCTGGTGGTCCAGTGGCATTGGCAGTTCAGTGGGGGGAGGAGTGGGGCTGGCAGAGCTGTTACTTACCTCTCCTGCAGCTCCTGCCAGCTCTCTCCTCCTCCGCGCCGGTCCGTGCAGCTCTTCTCTCAGCTCCCAGTGTAAGTCTCGCGAGAGCCGCACTATGACCCCGCGGCTCTCACGAGACTTACACTGGGAGCTGATCGAGGTGCTGCACGGACCGGCGCGGAGGAGGAGAGAGCTGGCAGGAGCTGCAGGAGAGGTAAGTAACAGCTCTGCCAGCCCCCAGTCTGTATTATGGCAATGTAAGTTGCCATAATACAGACTGACTCGAGTATAAGCCGAGTTGGGGTTTTTCAGCACAAAAAATGTGCTGAAAAACTCGGCTTATACTCGAGTATATACGGTAATAATTTCTAGATTGGGCATTCATTTTAGTCAAAATTTGAGCTATTCGTTCATTCATCCAAAAGTCAAATGAACAAATTAAAATTACACATTGCTAGTTAGACAAAATTTCATCCTGCAATAAGTTCTTGCGTTTGTTAGTTTTATATTAAAACAAAAAAGTTACACGCTTGCATCTCCCTACTCGTAATATTTAAAAATATAAATCCCCCCCCATGCCCCTCTCTCACTATGGGAATGAAAATTACCCCCATATTAGTAGAAGGGAGGTTAAATGCTCCCTCTTTCCCAAACCAGTCATCCCTCTTTACTGGATTAGCGACTGGGCAGCAACAATCTTTTTTCATAACAGTGAGCTGCTCTGGCTTCATGCTATTTAGTAGACATGCCCTTACTGGTAGCATGGTGGGTAGGGGCAGGTAGAAGGATTTAACCTCCCTTATTTACTAATACTAGGTATTTTTTACTTAGTAACTTTGTCTGAAAGACCAAAATTGCAAAAAGGAAGGGCTTTTTCATAATATTGGTCTTTCAGCTTCTTAAAGGAGCACTATAGGGTCAGGAACACAAACATGTATTCCTGACCATATTGTGTTAAAACCACTATCTAGCCCCCTGTGCCTCCCTAAAGATAGTAAAATATTACTTGTATTCAAGTCTGAAGCTGCTGCCTGTGAACTTCCTCTGACCTCTGACATCATCAGAAGTGGTGCCCTGATCCAATCCCAATGCTTTCCCATAGGATTGGCTGAGATTGACCAGGACCAAACTCAATTTTGAAAAAAATGAAATTCCAAAAACAAAATAATGCCCGAATTTCAACCAGAAATAAATGAACAAACAGCCGAATTCAGTTCGGACAAATTTTTTCTTCATTTGTCTGAATTTATTTGGATGAAATGAACATTTAGGCGGTGCCCAAATCTAGGATCTCTTTATCAAGGAAGGAATATATCCTTAAGTTTATTTTGTCTAAAATATTTTCTCTTTGTGTTAGTGTGTTTTGGATCATATTTTGAATATGCTCTTGACTGGAATAAACACATAGATGAAGAAAATATTATGGTGGTCACATTTGAAAATCTGAAAGAGGTGAGTTTTATATACTTGAAGACTTATGCAAATGATAGTCACATTGCAATTCTGAATTGATTAATTACAAAATGAAAAAAAAACATTTTCTTCTTACTTTATTGTTCAGAGTAAGCTGATAATATAATGGTGATAGCAACTATCTATATATGGTGCTAATGGCTAAACCCCTTAGGGACACATGACAGAATTATTCCGTCATGGATGTCCTTCCCTTAATGTGTAATTTTACCAGTAGGGAGTATTTCCCTGCTGGTAATAGCGGAACAGGTATCATTAGGTACCTGGGGTTCCCCTCTGTCTGCTGGGGCCAGAACATGTTGACAAATGAGCTGCATACAGAGCTCAAAGTGAACACTGCACACAGCTCTTTAAATGGGGGCTTTACATCCCTACTGCTATTTTTTATACGGTAAACACTATGGGCCCTCTCTTGGGAATCTTATTTCATAAGACCGGCACTACAAGCATCGCTAGAGGGATATCCTACATGTGGGGAGTTTAAATACCACTGTATGCTGTTTTATTTAGAGCTGGTTATAGCTCTCCCAATTGTAAGTTGGCACTCTTAGGACCTCAGTGTTGTCTGTTGTTGCAGTTAACCTACATTATTGCACCATTGGGTTTTTCCCCCTTTTATGTATTTTATATGCTGACGCTTATCTGGAATGCTGTAAGAAGTCTTGAGGATACACCTCCAAGTGTCCAGTTATATCCTACATGTGGGGAGTATTTAATACCACTGTATGCTGTTTTACCTAGAGCTGGGCATAGCTCTTTATATTGATTCAAAGCAAGGACTGAAGAATATACACTCTAGTTCTTCACCATACTTTAAGAGACTCTTTATATTATTGCTGATTTTTGTTTATTATCTCTCATTGTCCAACTTAGCGCACCCTGTATTTGTTGTATCTTTTTCTCTCCATTCTTTGAAGGGTTTGAGGGTTGCCCTTCCCCTCAGGTGTGCAGCTCTATTCTCCCCTGTGATCAGTACTGTAACGCTGTTCCTCTTCTATATTTTTTTAAGCTGATAATATAATGGTGATAGCAACTACCTATATATGGTGCTAATGGCTAAACCCCTTAGGGACACATGACAGAATTATTCCGTCATGGATGTCCTTCCCTTAATGTGTAATTTTACCAGTAGGGAGTATTTCCCTGCTGGTAATAGCGGAACAGGTATCATTAGGTACCTGGGGTTCCCCTCTGTCTGCTGGGGCCAGAACATGTTGACAAATGAGCTGCATACAGAGCTCAAAGTGAACACTGCACACAGCTCTTTAAATGGGGGCTTTACATCCCTACTGCTATTTTTTATACGGTAAACACTATGGGCCCTCTCTTGGGAATCTTATTTCATAAGACCGGCACTACAAGCATCGCTAGAGGGATATCCTACATGTGGGGAGTTTAAATACCACTGTATGCTGTTTTATTTAGAGCTGGTTATAGCTCTCCCAATTGTAAGTTGGCACTCTTAGGACCTCAGTGTTGTCTGTTGTTGCAGTTAACCTACATTATTGCACCATTGGGTTTTTCCCCCTTTTATGTATTTTATATGCTGACGCTTATCTGGAATGCTGTAAGAAGTCTTGAGGATACACCTCCAAGTGTCCAGTTATATCCTACATGTGGGGAGTATTTAATACCACTGTATGCTGTTTTACCTAGAGCTGGGCATAGCTCTTTATATTGATTCAAAGCAAGGACTGAAGAATATACACTCTAGTTCTTCACCATACTTTAAGAGACTCTTTATATTATTGCTGATTTTTGTTTATTATCTCTCATTGTCCAACTTAGCGCACCCTGTATTTGTTGTATCTTTTTCTCTCCATTCTTTGAAGGGTTTGAGGGTTGCCCTTCCCCTCAGGTGTGCAGCTCTATTCTCCCCTGTGATCAGTACTGTAACGCTGTTCCTCTTCTATATTTTTTTAAGCTGATAATATAATGGTGATAGCAACTACCTATATATGGTGCTAATGGCTAAACCCCTTAGGGACACATGACAGAATTATTCCGTCATGGATGTCCTTCCCTTAATGTGTAATTTTACCAGTAGGGAGTATTTCCCTGCTGGTAATAGTGGAACAGGTATCATTAGGTACCTGGGGTTCCCCTCTATCTGCTGGGGCCAGAACATGTTGACAAATGAGCTGCATGCAGAGCTCAAAGTGAACACTGCACTCAGCTCTTTAAACGGGGGCTTTACATCCGTATTGACAGCAATTTGGCGTGAGCAGGGTTACATAACTGCTCACACCAGGAAGACTAATTTTTAATGGCACTAGACTGACATAATCTATATGTTTAACTGAACGTCAGTGTGGCATGCAGAACTTAAAATGGGAATTTAAATCCCCACAGACAGCAATGCAGTGTGAGCAGGGATTAATTCACACTCCCAGTCAGTGGGGACCACAAATAGTGGCCATCGACTGACAGATGAGCTGTATGCAGTGCAAAGTGAATACTGCATAGCATTTTAAACACCGTGACTGAGTGATCATCAGAACCTGACATGGTTTTCCTGCATTCCCGAACGCCTTTTAGAGTTAAGATTTGGTTTCTAGAATATGAGTTTAGTTTAGGACTAGGGATAGGATTAAGACTGATACTTTGCAAAGTTGTATATATGTGGGTATTACTGTACTCAGGAGATGTTGCTGAGTACAGTTAGGCTAATTTATTACTGCGGAACAAATGAGATTTAAAAAATAAGCAGCAAAATACAAAGTGTGTTGTATATAAGTGATATTTTTTACAAAATAAATTGCTAAGATGCAATGTGTATGTAAAAAAAAGTGGGGAAAAAAAATACCATAAACTTTTAAAGAAAATGGTTCTCAATGGCTGTCTAATAAGGCTCAAAATATACCATATGACCAGTGGCGGAACTAAAGTAGAGAGGGCCCAGATGCAAGAATTTATTTGGACCCCACATGTCGCAAGGATGGCCAAAAGATAGATCCCACAATGCTTTGCCAACATGGGATCTCCCATTTGCCAATCCTTACCGGCTTGTATACAGCACTGAGCAGTGTTTGTATGTTTGAATGTAAGCATGTTTTATATGGAATATGTGTGTGTGAATGTAGGAGTGTATCTGTGTGTAGTGTTGTGTTGTATGTGTTTATGTATTGCTGCCATTTGAAAGCAATGGTTTACTTGTGTATAGTGTTTGCCTGTTTGAATGTAAGGATGACAAAAGGGATGGCAGGTCGTAAACTGTAGTGTTGTTATTTGAATGCAGGGTTGTATTTGTGTGTAGTTTTGGTGTTTGAATTCTGAAATGCATACACATATACACACACTGACATATGTCCAGTTACCCAGATACACACACGGACACACATGCAGATATACTAGCACACACTCAAATAAACAGAAACATGCAGATACACAGACACACAGATACGCACAATGACATACATACAGATACACATACACATAGATACACAGGGGCACAGATACACATACAGACACAGAGACACATACTGACACAAAGACAGATACACTGAAACACAGATATACATACACACAGATACATATACAACCACACGGATATATACACAGAGACACATACAGACATCCAGATAAATACACAGGTGCATAGATAGATAGATAGATACACAGGCACACATGCAAAATGTACACATTTTAAGCCACCCTCTTGTTTCCTAACTTTTGGGTGAAGCATGGTAACTTCCCTTGGGTCCAGTTGGCTGGCCGAGGCTGTTGGGAGTAAGAGGCTCTCCCATTAAGCATACCATCTCTCCTGCACTCCTATATGTTATCTCGGATTAAGTGGCCGCCTCTCAATTCCTCCTATGCTGCCAAGATTACAGGGGCACTGAAAACACTTGCCACCTGATGGTTTCCCACATGGGCTGAACTGCCGGTAGTTTCGCAGCTGCATGCAGATACACACTGACACACATACAGATACACAGATGCACATGCAGATACACAGACACACACACTAAAACACACATACAGACACACATGTAGATACACTAGTACACAGATACACTCAATAACAGATACAATATACAGATACAAATACTGACACATACATATACACAGAAACTCAGATACACAGGGGCACACACTGACATACTTGCAAATACATAAACACACGGATACATGTACAGACACTCTTACAGGGAGTGCAGAATTATTAGGCAAATGAGTATTTTGACCACATCATCCTCTTTATGCATGTTGTCTTACTCCAAGCTGTATAGGCTAGAAAGCCTACTACCAATTAAGCATATTAGGTGATGTGCATCTCTGTAATGAGAAGGGGTGTGGTCTAATGACATCAACACCCTATATCAGGTGTGCATAATTATTAGGCAACTTCCTTTCCTTTGGCAAAATGGGTCAAAAGAAGGACTTGACAGGCTCAGAAAAGTCAAAAATAGTGAGATATCTTGCAGAGGGATGCAGCACTCTTAAAATTGCAAAGCTTCTGAAGCGTGATCATCGAACAATCAAGCGTTTCATTCAAAATAGTCAACAGGGTCGCAAGAAGCGTGTGGAAAAACCAAGGCGCAAAATAACTGCCCATGAACTGAGAAAAGTCAAGCGTGCAGCTGCCACGATGCCACTTGCCACCAGTTTGGCCATATTTCAGAGCTGCAACATCACTGAGTGCCCAAAAGCACAAGGTGTGCAATACTCAGAGACATGGCCAAGGTAAGAAAGGCTGAAAGACGACCACCACTGAACAAGACACACAAGCTGAAACGCCAAGACTGGGCCAAGAAATATCTCAAGACTGATTTTTCTAAGGTTTTATGGACTGATGAAATGAGAGTGAGTCTTGATGGGCCAGATGGATGGGCCCGTGGCTGGATTGGTAAAGGGCAGAGAGCTCCAGTCCCACTCAGACGCCAGCAAGGTGGAGGTGGAGTACTGGTTTGGGCTGGTATCATCAAAGATGAGCTTGTGGGGCCTTTTCGGGCTGAGGATGGAGTCAAGCTCAACTCCCAGTCCTACTGCCAGTTCCTGGAAGACACCTTCTTCAAGCAGTGGTACAGGAAGAAGTCTGCATCCTTCAAGAAAACATGATTTTCATGCAGGACAATGCTCCATCACACGCGTCCAAGTACTCCACAGCGCGGCTGGCAAGAAAGGGTATAAAAGAAGAAAATCTAATGACATGGCCTCCTTGTTCACCTGATCTGAACCCCATTGAGAACCTGTGGTCCATCATCAAATGTGAGATTTACAAGGAGGGAAAACAGTACACCTCTGAACAGTGTCTGGGAGGCTGTGGTTGCTGCTGCACGCAATGTTGATGGTGAACAGATCAAAACACTGACAGAATCCATGGATGGCAGGCTTTTGAGTGTCCTTGCAAAAAAAGGTGGCTATATTGGTCACTGATTTGTTTTTGTTTTATTTTTGAATGTCAGAAATGTATATTTGTGAATGTTGAGATGTTATATTGGTTTCACTGGTAATAATAAATAATTGAAATGGGTATATATTTGTTTTTGTTAAGTTGCCTAATAATTATGCACAGTAATAGTCACCTGCACACACAGATATCCCCTAACATAGCTATAACTAAAAACAAACTAAAAACTACTTCCAAAAATATTCAGCTTTGATATTAATGAGTTTTTTGGGTTCATTGAGAACATGGTTGTTGTTCAATAATAAAATTAATCCTCAAAAATACAACTTGCCTAATAATTCTGCACTCCCTGTATACTCCTTATCTGCTTTAGATATTTGGCTTGGTAGTTATATAAAACCATCTTTATTGCTGCACTCTGCTGCACTCTTACTATATAATTAGTTTATTATTACTGAAAGGAATATACGTCCTCCGCAACATTACTCCTCCACACTCTGACTGACTGCCATGCTCTCTGACCTGTGTGTCCTCAGTGGCAGAGCCTCTAGTTAAAGTGAGAATGTGCAGTAAATTCCAGGTATAACAGACACACCAATAGATACACAGATACACATAGAGACACACAGAGTTTGAGTTACACAGAGACACAGACACATATCCTAATACACAAACACGTGCAAAATGTAATTTTATTTTTTAGTCACACTCCTGTTTTGGGTGCAGGAGGGTGGCTCTATGGGGTCCAGTCTGCCGGCTGAGGCTATTGGGAGTCAGATGCTCTCCCAATCCACGCTCACCTCTTCTCTATCCTCTGTCTCCTTTGAGGCTCTGTGTTATGTGGGAGGAAGTGACTGTTTCTCACTTCCTCTAAGGCAGCCATTATTAAAGAGGTCCGGTCAAATTCTTAAAGGATCAATTACATAAGCTATTTCTCACTAAAAATTGTTGTAAGTGGCACTGTCAGTGGCTAAGCACAGCAGTAACCTAAACAACCACCTTACCAGTCTCACACAACGATCAATAACACATCTCCCACCCAGGTATAACCAATCTGTCTTCTTCAGTAGATGTAGACCAGTGTCTGAAAGATTCCTGATTGGAAATATACAGTGGGACCTCGGTTTACAAACGCCTTGGTTAACATAATTTTCGCTTTACAAATGAAAATCCATTGAAAATAATGCCTCGGTTTACAAATTTGTTTTGCAATACACAATTGCACCTGGGAGGTTTATAGCACCGCCCCCTGCATGCTGGAGCCTGTGGGTAGCACGTGTCATCGAGTCATAGGCGTGCGCAGCCTATTGCATTAGGGTGTGCACCCTAAAACACAAGCACACGCCTCGTATATATATATATATGTATGTATATATATATATATACACACACATATACACACACACACACATACACTGCTGTGTGTGTGTGTGTGCTGTGTAAGGGTGCTGTTAGTGTGATGTGTGTGTGAGGGTGCTGGTAGTGTGCTATGTGGGTGAGGGTGTTTGTGTGTGCGTGCTTGTGAGGGTGCTGTTAATGTACTGTGTGTGAGGGTGCTGTTTGTGTGTGTGTGTGTGTGCGCTTGTCAGGGTGCTGTTAATGTACTGTGTGTGAGGGTGCTGTTTGTGTGTGAGGGTACTGGTAGTGTGCTGTGTGTGTTTGTTAGGGTCCTGTTTGTATTTGTGAGGGTACTGTTAGTGTGCTGTGTGTGTGTGAGGGTGCTGTTTGTGCTGTGTATGTGTGTGGGTGCTGTGTATGTGTGTGGGTGCTGTGTATGTGTGTGGGTGCTGTGTATGTCTGTGGGTGCTGTATGTGTGTAGGTGCGCTGTATGTGTGTGAGTGCTGTGTATGTGTGTTGGTGCTGTGTATGTGTGGGTGCTGTGTATGTCTGTGGGTGCTGTGTATGTCTGTGGGTGCTGTGTATGTGTGTTGGAGCTGTATGTATGTGGGTGCTGTATGTGTGTAGGTGCGGTATTTGTGTAGGTGCGCTGTATGTCTGTGGGTGCTGTATGTGTGTAGGTGCTATGTATGCCTGTGGGTGCTGTGTATGTGTGTGGGTGCTGTATGTGTGTAGGTGCTATGTATGCCTGTGGGTGCTGTGTATGTGTGTGGGTGCTGTGTATGTGTGTGGGTGCTGTATGTGTGTAGGTGCTGTATGTGTGTGGGTGCTGTGTATGTGTGTTGGTGCTGTGTATGTGTGATGGTGCTGTGTATGTGTGTAGGTGCTGTATGTGTGTAGGTGCTGTATGTGTGTAGGTGCTGTGTGTGTCTGTGGGTGCTGTATGTGTTTGGGTACATTACTTAATATCCCCCTCCCTTCTTACTTTATGTAGGGAGGGGGGATTCTTGTTCCTTGCTGCCATCCCTGGTGGTCCAGTGGAGAGTGAACTCTAGCCTGCGGGGCTAGAGTTCACTCTCGCAAGAATGAGCGTTGCCATGGCAACGCTCAGATCTCGCGAGAGGAACCCGGCGGAGCTGCCAGCAATAGCTTCCTGGGTCCTCTCCTGCCTCCCTCCCTGCATGTGGGTCGGTGGGGAGGGAGGCTGAGAGCAGAGCCGGTGCTCAGATAGCGCCGGCTCTGCATGAGCCGACAGGGGAGATCCTGAGATCTCCCCTGCTGGTCTCAGACCATAGGCGCGCCGCGGGGATTAGGGTGTGCCCAGGCACACCCGGCACACCCCGTGCGCACGCCTATGCATCGAGTGTGGAGGTGTTGAAGTAGCTTTTGCATCAAGTTTTGGTGCCATTCTTGAAATTGTTTGCAGTTGTTTGGGGACTTTTTGGTGCATTTCTCAAGCTGTGGAAAGGTAGGGAGCTTCGTCGTTTGCATGCCTTTTATTGTGTGTTCTGCATTGTGGGTTGGTTTCCATGCCAGCTCATTTTGACTTATTTCTGATCTCCAGAACGGCTTAATTGGTTTTCAGTGCATTCCTATGGGAAACCGCATTTTGGTTTCGCAATAAGAAATGTCCCGGAGAACGCATTAAATTGGTAAACCGAGGTCCCACTGTATAGGATTTGTTTTTCTGCTTCATCTTTCTTTACCCTCTGTTGGTCACTTTTCATTTGGCCTCTGAATAAAATTAACATTTGGTGGCTGTCCCCTAACAATCAATAACCTTTTCTTTCTCACCTTTTGATTGGACAATAGATACAGCCCACATGCTTGGACAGACCTCTTATCCATCATGGCAAACTAAGCTGCTTATTTGCACCCCTATTCCTCCTATCCATACCATCCTAATATTTTTGGCACCATGGAAGGAACTCCAACTCATGGAATAAACAAAATGGTCAAATCATTGCAGTTTCATTCATTTCACAATTCATCCATATGGTGTTCTAGAGTTTGAATGCGTCAGCCAAAATTCGGACTAATCTAGATTCAGATGAACCCGAATGCAGAAGTATAGTAACAAATAATGCCCAAGTATACCTTATCGTCTACTAATTTGGTATCGTTCAACGACCATCTGCAGGGGTGCTTCTACCTCTGTTATTTCTTGGCTATTTTTGAAACATCCTGTATCACTTTGTGAAGTCAAAGTATTCAGTGCTGCTAGGAGTGCTCAGATTTCCATCTTAAAGTACTCTGAAAAGCATTCAAAGGTGAGATGTAGATAGTGATTATAGTAGTGATTATGTCCTTTAACCCACACCATTAGCCAAGACTACATAAATGGGTTAAACAGAACTGACTTTATTGCAGCTGTGCAGAGGTATTTATAGCAACAGAGGGCCATTTGCATACCATATGATAATTAAAAGTACATACAGTTATTATTATTATTATTATTTATATAGTGCCAACAAATTCCGCAGCGCTTTACAGTGGGTGGACTAACAAACGTAATTGTAGCCAGGCAAGTTGGACGCACAGGAGCAGAGGGTTTGAAGGCCCTGCTCAATGGGCTTACATGCTAGAGGGATTGGGGTAAAGTGACACAAAAAGATAAGGATAATATTAGAGAAGTAATGACAGTTGCAGGAGAGGAATCGGTTGGGAGCTATAAACAGTTTAATTGATACACTTTTGTGAAGGAGTGGTGACTGGGTGGACGTCTAACAGGGAAAGGAGTTCCACAATAACAATGCAGCCCTAGAAAAGTCTTAAAGGCGAGCATCATAGGTGGGAGTACGAACAGAAGATAGACATAGTGTCACGACACTCCTTAGTTGATTTGCCCTAGTGCAGTACCCACACTCACCACTATCACTGTTTGGCACTGTTCCTAATTTTTTTTCATTAGCACTTCACCTGGTCCTTGTTTAGCACCTATATAGTCTGGTTTCTCCCCTCAGATCATTGTCTCCTGTTTCTTGTTCCGTGGTTCTTGGTTCCTGGTTCCTAAGATTCTGACTCTTTGCTTCTTGATCCTGTGTTTCCTGGTCTTGTGTTCTTGTGTCTTCTTGGTCTTATGTTTCTGTGTCCACCTGGTCCTGCGTTCCTGTGCCTCCTGATCCTGTGTTCTGGTTCAGTGTTCCTGCCTCTGCCTTATTACCAGTGATCCTGACCCTGCAGTCTTGTTAGTTTGTCCTGCTTCGGGCTTTGCTTCCTGGTGCCATATATTTGTTTTGTGGCTCTGGATCTGTGTCCCACCTATTTCTGTGGTGGCTGCACAATCCTGCCCAAATACATTCTGTATTCCAAAGGACTGTTTAAGTATACTCTGCCAATTTGTGGTTATCCTGGTTTATTGTATATATTATTCTGTAGCTTTGTATATATTTATTACATATTGTTTTGTTATATTTTGTCCTTTGGTTCCCTTATTATATTTCTTGATTTATTCTATTCATTGTGTCCTTGCCTTTATTCTTTGCTAAATTGGTTTCCACATTTAAAGGGATAGTGCTGTCCAGGGCAGCACCCCTTCATGTCATGACACATAGGTCTTCGGTAGAGCGTAGAGGCCTAGACAGGACATACTTGTGTATTAGGGAGGATAGCTAGGTGGGAGCAGCGTTATGTAGAGATTTGAAAGCAAAAAACGGAATTTTTAATTGAGCCCTATATCTTATGGGAAGCCAATGAAGGGGGTGAGGCGTGGGAGGTGTGGGCGGACAGAAAAATGAACCTCGCCGCTGCGTTCATTTATGGCGCAAGTTGGGAGCACGTAAGACCACTGAGACTACAGTTCCCCATTAAGTCTTCTTTCCACAATTCTTTGCTTTTCTTGCTGAAAACAACCCTCTGACTCACCAAATCAAACAAATGCTCAACTTCATTTATATATAATTCAAAAGACCTAAAACAACAAAGGCCCATTGCTTTCCCACCGAAGCAATTGGGATCCCCTACACTAAGGGTTGATCTGAACGAAATGCCCTCATTTGCTGTTGCACACAAACATGTATTCCTGACCCTATAGTGTTAAAGACACAGTTAGGGTCCCTGGCCCCCCTTGACCCATTTAAATAATAAGCCTGCAAGGACAGGCTATAGACACGAGAACAACTACAATAAGCTGTAGTTGTTCTGGTGACTATCATGTCTCTTGAAATGTATTAAAGATGTTATAGTGTCATAAATATACCTTTGTCTTATCGTTTACCTCCTCTCTTTCACTTGTTTTAGGATGTCAAAGCAGGGCTTCAAGCCATCTTATTCAGAGAGCTGAGAATCATACTTGCTGGCACTCATACCATGACATCAGATTTTCTATTCTTCTACTTTTCAATACCCTCATCTTATTCACGCACCCACAGCACCCTCACCCCTACCTCCTTCCCCTCCTAAACGCAGATCGCATGTAGCGTTCTCTAATTCTTAATGCTTTTCTATAAAAAGCATTTAAAGATTGTGGCATGTGCCTTGGGTTCACCAATGTCATCTCACTTGATGACTGCAAAGGGGGCAAGGCGATTTGCTGCCAGGGGCTGCTGTTGGCACTGGAATAAATGTAAATATATGTTTAGTTTAGTAATGTTTTGGAATGCAATACATATAAATAATTAAAATCTAGATAGATGAGTTAGAAATAGAAAAGAGTATTGATACAGAACAGTGTTCCTTTAATGATGGCAAGAAGAGTACATATGTATAAGTGATAAGAAGCATAATTGCTGTGATGTATTGAATTTTGCATAAATATCTTTCAAGCAGTTCCTGAAACCATTTTGCTCTGTCAAATATTGTCCTTCTAAAATGGCTGGCTGATTACCATTGTATAATAATGGACAGTATTTAGGGCCATTAAAACTATAGATTTGTTTGGAAAACTGTTTTCCCCCCAGTTGAGTTTATATATATATATACACATTTTGTTTTGTTTTGTTTAATAGGATTTTAAATCAGAACTTCTGAAAATATCTGATTTCCTAGGACTGTCATTGACAGACGAACAGATTGCTTTGGTTGAAAGCAAAACCACATTTAAATCAATGAAAGAAAATTCTTCCAATACACATGGTAAACTTGGAGATGTTTTCTTTCGAAAAGGTAAGCAATAAAATAAACAATATTAGAAGTAGGGTATATTGATGTATAGCATGAATATAAGTAAAATGATTCTCATGTGTAGTAAAGTTTTGTAAATATATATTTACACATAAATAACATTAAAAAAACAACAAAAAGTGTTTTCAGAATTCATTAGTGATAAGCAATGGACATGATTAATCTCTACATTTTTCTTTGTTTAGCTTTGCTACGCTCTGTTTTTCCATTTGCAATATGCTTATTCCAGTATATGAATGTATTTCGATTTAAGTTCAGCTGTACCTTCAAATACATTAATGTAATCCATATAAAACACTATGAAAATAATGACAATAAAACTGGTCGGCAGAAACTACGTTTTCATTGCTTACATTTTGTTTTCTTTTTTAAGGAGAAATAGCGGACTGGAAAAACTATTTCACTGAAGAGCAGAGCAAAGAATTAGATGCCAAGTTTGAAGAGACACTCGCAGGAACAAAACTGGGAGAGAAGATTAATTACAATAAATACTGTACTTTTTAGAATGTAAAAAAGTAGAATGGCAACCTATTGCTTAGAGTTTTAATGAAGAACTGCAATATCTAGTAGTTTTCCCATTTCATATATTTGCCTGTGCACTCACTTTTTATATGACCAATAAATCAATTATTCTAATCTAGGCCTCAATTTAATATGTTTTTGATAGGATTTTTAGATGATTCAATATTTTTGGATACATTTGTAAAAAAATTTCATATTGTGAAAAATATTTTAATATATAGATTTTGTTTTCACATTGATATATTTTTTTAAAAATAGGATATATTTTTGAATTGATTTTATTTTACTGAGAAATATGAAATCATTTGAAAAGATTATCCCAAAAAATTATTAGGGCCTGAATATTTTCCTCTCAACATTACTAAAATAAATTTTACTCCTTTAGAATGACATTTGCTGACAACTAAAGCTCATTCCATGGTACTGTCTGTAAATGTGTCTATCATAATATATAATTTAATTAGTATATTCATTCATCACAGAGCTGCCACTATATAAATAATTGTAATTAAAACAATAGGCAAATACATGTCTGAGAACAATCTTTTCCACATTCTCTCCCTCACTTCCATTGCATCCGTGTCTACCATTCACTCTTATTCCCTCCCCTCTTCTGTTCCCACTCATTATTGTTTTGCTTGTCCCCACCACCTTGACCTCTCTTCCTATATCATGCTTTCTCCTTCCTCTTTTTGATCTGTGTTCCAGTGGAATTGGAGGGTGTCAACATCCTGCGTGTGACATGGTATAGAGTGTCATCTTTGCTTTGTCCAGTTGCAGAAGTAGCTGTCAGTTCTCCGATTCCAATGTTGGGAGGTATGGCTTTTGAGTGGCAAACAATGAATTGCTAAAGAACCTAACTTCCAAGCAAGAAATCGCAAACATGTGCTACCGCACATGGAGGCATCGTTCCAATCCAAGTTGGAACATATTAGCACAGTTCTCCGCCATGATGCCCTGCAACTTCAGGTCCAGCATCTACAGACCTCCATGGACACCCACTCATCACACATCTCTGCAATACAGCATTCAGAGCACACAGAACACTTTGCCCTTCAGGGGCACTGCTGGATAGACCCAAGGATGCGGTATGCCGCCTGCATTACTTTTCCCAAAAGGTTGACATCCTCAAGGTACTGAGGCAGTCCAGACAACTACTGCTTTAACATGAAACTCCCATCTCTGTGTATCCAGATCTATCATGGATGACCTTACAAGCTAGGAGAGCCCTCAGACCGATTATTCATAACCTGTATGCACAAAAACCTGCGATACAGATGGGGGTTCCCTTTCGCACTCAGCGTTACATACCAAGGAACTGTACACACTTTCCACGATGTACCGTTATTCATCCAAGCATTGGACTTACCACATACACCAATAACAGACTGGTATGGCCTACCGCTGCTGGCATCAAAACCTCATCTACCACAATGCCAACAAATGCTGAAGAGAAGGAGACCCGAAAAAGCGGAAGCAGCGACAAGCCCAGCTACACGAAGAGGAAGAACAGCGCTACAATAAGTGAACTCTAAACCCTTCACAAATCAATCAGTGTAAGGACTTTGCAGAAGATGTATTATTTATTTATAAAATATTTTGGAAGATGTATACCATGCTTAGACCCACCTCTAGACCTCACAGATGTTCTACACGAAACAGTGAAGGCATTTGGAGCTTTGCCCTCGCCGACAGGTAGGGGAAGGGGAGCCCTGACATAACCCCCCCATCGAGGACCGCCCAGCGGGCGGAAAGCCAAAGGCGTCAAAGGAAACCGCGCATGGAAGGAGCGGATCGAAGAGGGTGCATTCAAATCAGAGGCAGAAACCCAAGACCGCTCCTCAGGACCATAACCCTTCCAATCCACCAGATACTGCAACCGACCTTGAGAAAAACAAGAATCAAGCAGAGCAGCCACTTCGTACACATAACTGGAGACCGCGTGGAGGGAATCCGGACGCCTGAGAGGACCAGAGAATCGATTACAGAGCAAGGGCTTCAAAAGGGAGATCTCTTCTGAGTAGCAGCCGCACGGGAGAGAGCAGCATGGACCTGATCCCACATTTTCCGCAAGGAGACAAGGTGCTCGTCCAAAGCGGGCATTCCCTTGTCGGAGAACACACCGGGAAGGACAGAGGGTTGGAACCCATAAGCAACCATAAAAGGACTTAAGCCAGTGGACGAATGAGTCACGGTATTCCTGGCAATTTCAGCCCAGGGAAGGAGATGAGACCAGTTGTCCTGGTGTGCATTAGTGAAGCAGCGTAAATATAACTCCACAGATTGATTTGCCCGTTCGGCAGTTCCATTGGATTGTGGATGATAGGAGGAAGTAAATGACAAGGAGATCCCCATCTCAGCACAAAAGCCCCTTGTAACGGATCGCCTGGCACCCCGACTGGGTACCTCCGTTGAAGGATGCTCCTAGCGCTTCCTGAGGACTCCAAGCACTCTGGCAGACACCACAATCACCGAACCGGAGAAACAAATAAATTCTCCCAAGCATTTGAATGCTGTAGACAGTTGAATAGGAACCATACGAATAGGTTTACTCTCCTAGCAGTCAAACTGGAACAGCATACAATAAATCCTTCCCCCAATAATGAGACGACACTTCACTTTGAGGGTTAAAACAGGAACTCTTGTGCTGGCACACCCAGCCTGGTTTTTATTACAGCCTTTCACATACAGGACCGCCCACAGGGAGGTATAAAACAACCAATCACATATCAGTTACATCCCACATATTCCCTCCCCTTATCCTGAGAGGAAACTCAATTACACATACAGTTAAAACATACTTTCTACCCAACTTTCATAACTTTAAAACCATACATCACATTCACATAAAATTACATATTCACAATCAATCCATTCAGGGGAACAACATATTAAAAAATGGCATGAATCCGACCAGGGATTCAAAAGTTAGTAAAAGTATCTTTTGGGCCCTGGCTGACACATGGATATCTGGCTCAAACAGTTTTTACAGAGCCCTCTATCCTGGAGACAATGGGGGAAAGTAATCCAATTATCCAGGGATAGAGGCAGACTCCGTTGAGCACATGGTTGCAAAAAGACATAAAACACTTTAAAATACATAAAGCCACCTTTTACACATAACACACAGACATTTCACATATCCCCAGATAGCTGGGATCTGAGCGCACAAAACTACCGAATAGCGCTCAGATCCTATTCACACAGTTCAATTGCCATGGAGCCGAAGTCTTTCACTACACGAATGGGCTCCATGGCATAGCTATCTGGGTTGACACATTCACATAAAGTCTGGTCCATAGTCCAAAGGCAAGAGGCGGGCAAGCAGCCCCCTCCAAGGACATGTGGCGAGACTGGTTTCGCCACACCCCTCCAAAACCGAGAGACAAATTGAGGACCCCTATCGGATACGATATCCTGAGGTATACCATGCAAGCGGAACACCTCTTTGGCAAATACCCGAGCCAACTGAACCGCAGAAGGTAGTTTTTTAAGGGGAATAAAGTGTGCCATCTTAGAGAACCAGAATCAGTCACAGTCAAAATTACTGTCTGTCCATCAGATGAAGGAAGATCTACAATGAAGTCCATGGATAAGTGGGTCCATGGTTTCTCGGGTACAGAAAGGGACATTAGGAGTCCCAGGGGTTTAACGTTAGGTGATTTACACTGTGTGTAAACACGACAAGCCTGCACATAATCTACCACGTCTTGTTTAAGTGAGGGCCACCAAAACTGTTGAAGAAGACCCTTGTATGTTTTGGTAACCCCTGGATGACCAGCAGTTTTGGCGGTGTGAAATAAAGCTAATAACTTCTTTCTGTCTTTTTCTTTCACGTATAATCTACCAACAGGTGTCTCACAGGGTGCTTGGGATTGGTATGTCTTGATACCATCAAGGAAAAGAGACGAAATAACCAAACGGGTAGCAGCTATTATCATAGATGTAGGTACAATGGGTTCAATCGACTCCAAAGGTTCGTACTGTCTGGAGATAGCATCAGCCTTGACATTACGGTATCCAGGCCTATATGTGATAATGAACTGAAAGCGTGAAAGAAATAAAGACCATCTGGCCTGACGAGAGGACAACCTTTTAGCATCTGCTATATAGGAGAGATTCTTATGATCAGTTATAACCAGGATTTTGTGTCTAGCTCCTTCTAATAAGTACCTCCATTCTTTAAAAGCCATCACAATAGCCAATAGTTCCCTGTTCCCGACGTCGTAATTATTTTCCGAATCAGACAGCCTTTTAGAAAAGTAACAACAGGGATGGAGGGGTTCGGTATGCGATTGTCTTTGTGATAACACGGCTCCTACACCTGATTCTGAAGCGTCTACTTCCATAACGAAGGGAAGGGAAGGATCAGGATGGTGTAGCACAGGGGCAGTGGCAAATGCCTTTTTGAGAGTCTTGAAGGCTTTAACAGCTTCAGGAGTCCAAACCCTGGGGTGCAAACCTTTTTTAGTCAGTTTCGTGATTGGAGAAATAACTGATGAAAAGTTTTTAATAAACCTCCGATAATAATTGGCAAAGCCTATAAATTGCTGTATTGCCTTAAGGCCTTGGGGAAGAGGCCAAGACAATATGGCTTCTAATTTAGAAGGATCCATGCTGAATCCCTATTCAGAAATGACATACCCTAGGAATTGTACAGATTTTTGGTCAAATAAACATTTCTCTAATTTGCAATAAAGACCGTTCTGCAACAATCTCTTAAGTACCATCCTCACATGAGTATGGTGTGACTTCAAATCAGGAGAATATACAAGTATGTCATCAAGGTAAAATACGGCACAGATATGCAGTAAATCTCTAAGGACATCATTTATGAGGACCTGAAACACAGCAGGAGCATTACACAGTCCAAAAGGCATGACTAGATACTCGTAATGCCCACTGCGTGTATTGAATGCTGTTTTCCATTCATCATTCTCTTTTAAACGAACCAGGTTGTAAGCCCCCCTGAGGTCTAGTTTAGTATAATATTTAGAACCTTTAACACGATCAAACAACTCAGTGATGAGAGGGATAGGATAAGCGTTTTTAACCGTTATATTATTCAGACCCCTGTAGTCTATACATGGCCTCAAATCGCCCTCTTTCTTGGCAACGAAAAAGAAACCAGCACCAGCAGGAGAGGAGGACCTTCTGATAAAACCTTTACGTAAGGATTCCCATATGTACTCCTCCATGACCTGATTTTCTTTCTCAGAAAGCGGGTAGACCTTACCCCTAGGGGGCATAGTACCTGGTAACAGGTTTATGGCACAGTCATAATCCTGGTGTGGAGGTAGCTTATCAGCCTCCCTTTTTTCAAAAACCAATGCGAGGTCTGCATACACAGAAGGGACAGAAACAGAAAGTGGTTTAGCTGTAGGCACATTAAGTAAACAAACAGAACGTAAATGGGCCATACAGTCTCGTTGACAAGATTACCCCCAGGAGAGTATATCCAAACAACCTCAATCAAGTACTGGGTTGTGTTTAACTAACCAGGGAAAACTCAGAACGATGGAAGCTGTAGGGGAGTCAATTATTTGGAAGGTTAACCTTTCCTTATGTAAGGCACCCACAGTCATAACCATTTCTTGGGTTTCATGGGTCACCAGAGGTTTATCAAGCGGTCTACCATCTATGGCCTCAACGGCCAAGGGTGTGGCCTTTTGGATCAGAGTCAAGGCTGCGGTTTTAGCAAAGTTCTCATCCATAAAGTTGTGTGCAGCGCCTGAATCAATCAAGGCTTTGGTTTTTATGGTAATCTGATTGACCAAAAGAGTAACCATAATAAATGGTCTAGAGATGGAGACATGAGGGGAAAAAGTCATAACACCCGAGGCAGACCCCTCTCTAGGCCTTAGGTGCTGAAGTTTCCCTGATAAATTGGGACAGTTTCTAAGGAGATGCCCCCTCTTTCCATAATAAAGGCATAACCCCTCCCTCCTGCGATATGCTCTTTCAGCTTCAGTCAACCCTATAGCACCCAATTGCATGGGTTCGGGAGATGGTTGATTAGGAGGAGGTAATGCTAGTATTGCAGTACTGAGTAAAGCAGGTAGCACCTGTGTATTCATCCATCTTTGACTACGCCTCTCTCTAATACGGTTGTCAATGAGAATGATATAATCTATTACGTCATCCAAGAGAACAGGCAATTCCCTGGACGCTATTTCATCTAGTATGTAAAAGGCCAAACCCTCCTGAAAGGCTGTTACGAGGGCGTCGTTATTCCAAACCACTTCAGCTGCTAGAGTTTGGAATTCAATAGTATAATCCGCTACTGATCTATTACCTTGTCGGACCCTAAGCAGAGCTTTGCCAGCAGAAGCAACCCTACCGGGTTGATCAAATGTGCGTTTGAAAGCTGTCAAAAAGTCTGCAAAGGACATTGGGGCGTATTCTCCCACATTGGATTAGCCCATGCTAAAGCTTTCCCGGACAAGTGGTTAATTAAAAAAGCAATTTTGGTTCTATCAGTGGGGTAGGAACGAGGATTCATCACCAAATGAATATAAATTTGGTTGAGGAAACTACGACACAATGCTGGATCACCGCTATAGCGCTGTGGTGGCGTCATGTGAACCACGTGAGCAGGAACGGGTACTGGATCGGGAATGGGTTCTGGTACAGCAGCAACAGCTCCTTGAACAGCAGGTTGCAAGTGGGCAGTACGAGCCAGTATGGTTTGTAAAGCCTAGGCAAACTGATCCATACGGTGGTCTAAACCATGCATTCTAGCCTCCTGATTCACTAACAGCTGTGGAATGTCAGCAGGTTCCATGGTGTCCCTGTTGTAATGTCACGATTCGGGAACCTAACACGCTAACAGGTCACAGGAAGGAAGGGTGCTATACCGGTCCTTAGAATGGCCGGGTTAAGCACACTAAGAATAGTCAGGAGACAAGCCAAGTAAAGGGAGCCAGAAAACACGAGAACGAGAAACAAGCCGAGGTCAAAGGAATGGAGAATACAGGAAAGTCGGAATAACGAGCCAAATAAACAGTAACCAGAGAGCAACACAAGCAAACAGCAATACAGGAAACACAAGACCACAACAGGGCACTGAGAGACAGGAAAGGTAAGTATATAACAGCTGTGCTTAATTCTGATTGGATAACTTCCAATCAGACTTAATAATCACACGTAGGAGATATCTATACCTCCCACTGTGATTAGGGTACTGTGGCTTTAACGTCGGGTCACGTAAGTGACCCTGGCGTTTACACAAATGCGGGGACTCCCAGCGTGCAGCGTTACACATGCTGCCGTTGGGAGGCGAGGAGGAGGACGCGAGCGGCGTGCAGCGCAGAGAGGACGCCGCTCGCCGACAGGTAGTGGAAGGGGAGACCCTGACATAATGTATGTATGTACACTGAATTGTTATTAATATAAGTTATGATAATAGAGCAAGGTTTAAAGTCAAAGCTTGTGTGAGGGCCACTACTATACATTGTAGCAGCGTGTCATTTCTTCAGCGTTGTCACATGAAAAGATATAAAATATTTACAGAAATGTGAGGGGTGTACTCACTTTTGTGAGATACTGTCTAAATATACACTTGTGTGGCAATGTTGTTTTTTGTGATGGCTACTAAACTTACAAGAAAAACATACCAACTTCTAAAATTGTTTCACATTGAAATTTTATTTTAGTCCTTGTATTTTGTGACAAACTTTCAAAATAAGCTGAAAACCTACACATATTATGTACTCTATGAATCAAGACACATAGATTAATTTATGTTGAATTACTTTTCCTATACTGGAAACATGCACATGTCATTATTTCATGAACTGAAAAATTCCCCCTGCCCCCCCCATTTTTTTAATTAATTTTTTTATAATTAATAAGAAATTATATATGTATATGTGGAGCCGAATTAAAACCCTTTTTGTCCTCTAAAAACTGTATATTAATTGTGAGAGATGCAAATCGCACGTGAACAAAAACAGCAAAAATTGTTTGTGTCCTTAAGTGTATGTTCAGCCTCTGAATCTGTGTCATTAAGGGGTTAATTCTATCTTTTTAGTTTCCTTTCAACTGTTGCAACTGCTTTGTAATACTAAATACTAAAAAAAAACTAAAAAAAAAAACTTGCGTACTGTATGGATTAATGCAAGCATTACTCTGTTAAGGTCACTGTTGGCTCTCTGTGAATTAGTGAATTGCATCTATGGGAGGGACATCACGAACTTTATCCCTACTCCACACACTCTATGGCACACCCATTTTACACATTCATAAACACAGCACTGGTAAGAGATCGAACACTGCTTACTCCTCTACATACAGCAAGATGTCTGAGACGGAAACAAAAACAAAACGGGAGAAATTCCTGGCAGAAATGCAGAAAGTTGCAGCAGAGGCTAGCAAGAAAACTCCTGGAGAGCTAGTGCTCAACTATAAAGGGGTCCTGTACCCGAGTACCATATGCAGTATTGAGACCTTTCAAGCCTTGGAATCTTTGGAAGCCAGAGAGGATGATGTGATAATTGTGACATATCCCAAATGTGGTTAGTGTTTGTAACAACCCCCCAAAATGTCTGGTTTTACTGCATTGTCACTTAGCAGTAGTTCGTGTGAAGTCTGTCGTGGAATCCTTTAAATAGGGATTGTATGTAGATACATTGTATAACAGGATTTAGCTGTCACTGGATTCTAAGTATGTTCTATGAGTTGTAGTCATTTTATTGACCTTGATTTGGTGGATGGTAGAGTTCCCATTACCAGGAAGTGATCAGGCCAGTTTAGGTTTTTCAAATCACACTAATAATTAGCTTGTTATTTAATTAGAGAATTGAAGATTATGCTAGCGTTAGTGTACTTATAATCTTAATTTTAGTAATGACAGGAGGCGAGTATTTTGCATATAACTCTCTTTACTAACTCCACATAGCAGTAAAGAAAAGTGAAAACGATAACCAATCAAAATGCAATATGCTGTATAGTATTCACAGTGATGAGGCTCCTCCCCCTCTTTCAGAAGCGACATCAGGCAAAACTCAAGAAGCCATAACGTCCAAACATGTATAACTTGCACCAACGTGTGATTCCCATCGACAAAACGGACTTTCACGGGATGCGAACTGATTCAGAATGTCCTGCAACGTGCAGCGGTTGATGTGTCCCATTAACGAAGCTCCAGGAGCTGAAGGATGTTTCAACTGTGTCCATTCAGAGAAGGATCTGTGAACAACGCGGGTTTAAACTGAAACGAGAACGTGAAACGGATTAGGCACCGATCTTTCAACTGGTTGCAGTATCGACCCCACATAATAAAGCAATAGGAGACCCCCTGGTTAAAAGGTTAATGCATAATAACCTGAACATAACAGATCCCAAACCAAGAGGAGACGAAGGTATAGATACCAGATAAGACAACGGGATATAGAAATATACTTACGTGCATCCACTCTTCCCAAGGGAGGGAAAGGGTGGGAAAATACTCGCCTCCTGTCATTACTAAAATTAAGATTATAAGTACACTAACGCTAGCATAATCTTCAATTTTACCACATGACAGGAGGCTTCCTATTTTGCATTTTTTAACGCTGATGTAGAAGAGACATAGCCGCACCTGAACTCGGGCGAAAGTAGAATGTCCGAAAGGTAGATTCCCTCGACCAGTCAGCTGACCGAAGGATATCCGCCAGAGACGCGCCTGCCGAGAAAGCCGAGGAAGCCGCCGCCCCGCGCACTGAGTGTGCACCGAAATTAGCATCCACACCCGCCAGTGACAGGATCCATCGCACCCATCTGGCGAGTGTGGTAGTCGAAACGGGAACGTGTGGTCTGACATAGGATACTAGTAACTGTCCCGAGGCAGAGGCCCGAAGCATGGCTGTGGTCTCCACGTACTGATGCAGGGTAGAGACGACGCACAGCTGTGGTTCGGTAGCGAAGAAGGGGTAAAAGACCGACGTAAAGTCCGATTTGGTACGTCGTGATACACAGAAGGTAACTCCCTCGGGGGAGACCGAAAAGGCATTGATGTCGAAAGCCCGCACGTCCGAAACCCGATGGAAGGAAACGAGGCAAAGTAAGAGGGTCAGTTTGGCCGAGAGTTGCCTGAGAGATAGTCTGTCATTAGACGGCCAGTCCCTCAGAAACCGTAGGACCACCTCCACGTCCCACATGTGGGAGTACTTAGGACCTGGTGGTCTCTGTAATCGGATACCTCTCAGGAGACGGCATACCAGAGGGTCCTTCCCAACGGGAATACCCAAGTTCGGGACGTGAGCCGCCGAAATCGCCGAGCGCACGACATTAAGCGAGCGGTAGGAGCGACCCGTAGAGAAAAGATGTGAAAGAAAGTTCAGAATAGCTGTTACAGGTGCCGTAAATGGATCGAAGTTCCGTTCACTGCACCAAAAGGACCAGGAACTCCAAGCTGATAGATAGCATCGTCTGGTCCCAGGTGCCCAGGAATCCCATATGAGGTCTCTAGCCGTTTGCGATAAATCGCAGGTTTGCCAGGCTCCCCTGAAAGCGTCCAAGCCACCAGGGTAAGGCGATCTTCGAGGATGAGAGGATGGGGATTCCCCTTTGGATCCGTGAGGAGCATCGGATAGGAAAACCCCAGGAACATAGAAAATCAAGAGTACAATCCCCCAAACATACAGAAAATGAATAATGAAGTAAAATAAAGTTAAATGAAGTAAAATAAATAAAGTTAAATAACAAAATAAACAGTAATGGAAGGGAAGAGCTGAAACTCTGACCTATCTGCTGATGGAGCAGTAAAGAAAGAGGGGGAGGAGCCTCATCACTGTGAATACTATACAGTATATTGCATTTTGATTGGTTATCGTTTTCACTTTTCTTTACTGCTATGTGGAGTTAGTAAAGAGAGTTATATGCAAAATAGGAAGCCTCCTGTCATGTGGTAAAATTATCAAACCACAGCAATTGTGTTGTGACCCAGCAAATTAGAAATTTGCTAGCACAGCTTTTTAATGCAATTATATTAACCCCCTAGTGACAGGAGGCTAGGCAATTTCCGCTATGCAATCACAGACCTGAAAGGTCCTTTTTTAATGAATGGGGCTGAAAAAAAACCCCTTAACTTCATTGAGAACCAGAGTTGGTAAAATAGCATGTTATTGTGGTAGCCCTGATTGACCTTGAAGTAGTTAAATTCTGTTTAAATTCCAAAAAAAAGAAAACAACACAGCTCAATGTATGTGCTGGTTTCACCAGTTTGCAGGTTCGAAGTTGGAAATATGTATTTTCCTGGGAATGAAAAGTTTGCCTGTGTCTATATTTCTAGAACACTATGGATAAACAGTAAGATATATATATGTGTGTTATTGGCTGGTAGCCTATCTGCCTATTCTTTAATCAAGTCAGGGAGGGAGCTGTGCATGGCAGACACAGGTAAGAAGTCAAATTATTCAAAACCAGTTTGACTCCTTACATCGAGAGGGATGCCTGGACACAGCAAGCCTGACGTGGTTATGCTGCTTGGAGTGTTTTATGTAAGATAAAAGAATGCTGAAATTCAACTTAGTGCAGTGGCGAATCCATTTAAGAACAGTTTGACAATGTACCTGGGGCTGTAGTACATAGGGCCTCTACTAATGTGTGAGTAGGCAGTGAGGGTTGCAGGGTGGGTATTGGAGGCAGTGTGTGAATGTGTATGGGGGTGCATTGTGTGTAGGAGTGTGTGTTTTGTGTGAGGGGTGTAGTGTGTGTGCATGGGAGTACTGTGTGTGTGTGTATGTGGGAGTGCAGTTGGGGAAGTGTGTGTCTGTTAGTGAGTGTGTGTGTGTCAGTGTGTTACTATGTGTTTGTCTGTTAGTCAGTGTGTGTATATGGGGGGCTGTGGGGGCAGTGCGTGTGTAGTTAGGGAGGGGGCAGATAAAAAAATTATTTTGTTTTCTGATTAAAAATAATGTTCTTTACATCCCCCCTCCCTTCTTACCTTTGCCCAGGGAGGGGGGATATCGATTGTGAAGCCCTGGTGGTCTGGTGAAGAATCCCTGGCGGTTCTAGAGGGGAGTGAACTCTAGCCTGCATCTCCTGAGTTCTAGAGTTCACTCTTGCGAGAATGGAGAGTTGCCATGGTAACCGCAGCAATGCTCCATGCTCCGAGAGGAGACCTGGTGGAGCTGCAAGCTAGAGCTCACGGGTCTCATCTTGCTCCCCAGCCAGCAAAGTGCCTTTGGACCAGTGAGCGAGATCTCTGGTTCGTGAAGACACCCAACAGGGCCGGCGCTTGCATAGCGCCGACACTGCACTGGAGAGCTTCGGCTCCCGGGGGCGTTGCCCTCCCCCACCTCTCCCTGGATCCGCCACTGACTTAGAGGAGCCTATTTTTCAGGTACAGGTTTTAACACATTAACTTGGGGTAATGTCAAATCCTTCTATATGTTCTGTAGAGACAAGTAGGATGTGGGGGTCACAAAATTCACTAAAGTGTGAATTGTGGGAAATTCAAAGTGACTCACATTTTAGGCCAAAATAGCTAAATTGAAAACTTAGCTGACCTGCAGATCATATTTGATATGACTTTGAATTCCTTGGAACAGCAAACTTGGAAGTGGGCAGGTGCTTCACTTTCTTATATATGGTGACAGAAGTGAGGGGGCTATTCAATAAGTATACACCCATAATAGTTTTTCTTGGTCTTGAATTCTGGTTTGGGGGTGGACTCAGAATATGAAAACTGAGAATGGGCAAAAGCTCAGAAAACTCAATAGCTTGTCCTTTGTTTTGTTTCCACTCAGGTCTCAAAAAAAGTTTAATTCCCTTGTGCCATTGCAGAGAGAAACTATATATAGAAACATAGAATGTGACGGCAGATAAAAACCATTCGGCCCATCTAGACTGCCCAATTTTCTAAATACTTTCATTAGTCCCTGGCCTTATCTTATAGTTAGGATAGCCTTATGCCCATCACACGCATGCTTAAACTCCTTTACTTTGTTAACCTCTACCACTTCAGCTGGATGGCTATTCCATGCATCCACTACCCTCTCAGTAAAGTAATACTTCCTGATATTATTTTTAAACCTTTGCCTCTCTAATTTAAGACTGTCCTCTTGTTCTGGTAGCTTTTCTTCTTTTAAATATAGTCTCCTCCTTTACTGTGTTGATCCCCTTTATGTATTTAAATGTTTCTATCATATCCCCCCTGTCTCGTCTTTCCTCCAAGCTATACATGTTAAGATCCTTTAACCTTTCCTTGTAAGTTTTATCCCGTAATCCATAAACCAGTTTAGTAGCCCTTCTCTGAACTCTCTCTAAAGTATCAATATCCTTCTGGAGATATGGTCTCCAGTACAGCGTACAATACTCCAAGTGAGGTCTCACCAGTGTTCTGTACAATGGCATGAGCACTTACCTCTTTCTACTGCTAATACCTCTTCCTATACAACCAGGCATTCTGCTAGCATTTCCTGCAGCTCTATTACATTTAAGTCATCAGAAAACCATTACCCCTAAATCCTTTTCCTCAGATGTTGAGGTTAGGACTCTATCAAATATTCTATACTCTGCCCTTGGGTCTTTACACCC